TACTAAGACACCACATAAATGCTCCTTACTTTTAATGCTGGGAATCAAATGTTGTCGTTTGGAATAGAAGAATGTAAAATATATGTAAGCTGTTTTACTTCCCATCACTGACGCGAAACGTACATGCATACAGCCATGGTAAAACTACTACCATGATTACTCTCAAGCAAGGATTACTCTAATTGCGACAAGAGGGACATAAACATTGTTAAGGTTGAAGGGTTCAAGGTTGCAACCAGTTTAGTTCGTCATGCATTAGTGATATGCACTGTTTTTTGTCCCGTAATAATAAACTTGACAAGTTTCGTTCATGCATGATCCGATTGTGACTTTACCTGTGTACATGCGCAGTGCATAATGCACTCGCGAACATATTCTATCATGGAAGTATACATAAGAAAATCATTTTGTTCATGCCAAATATAATATTACTATAAACAGGGAGTTGTGAAATAATTGATGTACAGTGTAAGAGCTTCCATTTCCAATAAGCTACGAATACATGAAAGAATGTACGAATAGTGAAGGGGAGTTTTATTTCAATACATATTCATCCATTCACTGGAATTGAATGATTGAATGTATGAATTCAAATGAATGAATAATAATAATAGCTCGTTCTTAGCGCTTTTCAGGACAGGCGCGTAGCCAGGGGGGGGGGGGGGGCGGTGGGGGCGGTCGCCCCCCCCCCAAAACGCCGGCCAAAAAAAAAAAAGAGAGAGAAAGAGGAGAAGAAAAAAAAGGAAGACGTAGGAAGAAAAAGGGAAGAGGAGTCGAGAACGGTACAACGAATCGTCAAAGCTTCCGCGCTTCGCGCGGGAAGGGGGGAACTGAGTTCAAATTTAGGATTAAGGGTCGGGAAAGGTACAACGAATCATCTTCTTTCTCTAATAATTTAATGAAACGTCAAAACTTCGCACGAGAGGGGGGGGGAACAGACTTCAGACAATGATTAAGGGTCGGGAAAGGAACAACGAATCGTCTTCTTTCTCTAATAATTAAATGAAACGTCAAAACTTCGCACGAGAGGGGGGGGGGGAACAGAATTCAGACAAGGATTTAGAGTCGAGAAAGGTACAACGAATCGTCTTCTTTCTCTAACAATTTAATAAAACGTCAAAGCTTCGCGTGAGAGGGGGGAGGGACTAAATTCAGACAAGGATTCAGTCGAGAAAGGGACAACGAATCGTCATCTTTCAAAGCTTCCGCGCTTCGCGCGGGAGGGAGACTGAGTACAGATAAGGATTAAGAGTCGGGAAATTAGGTACAACGAATCGTTTCTTTTCTCTAATATTTTAATGAAACGTCAAAGCTTCGCGCGAGAGGGGGGAGGGACTGAATTCAGACAAGGATTATGAGTCGTGCAGGGTACAACGAATCGTCTTCTTTCAAAGCTTCTGCGCTTCGCGCGGGAGGGGGGAAACTCCCCCTCCCTGCACCCACCCCCCTAGGGAGCGCGCTTCGCGCGCTCTTTAAGTGATTCGCACGTGCTCACTACCGCCCCCCCTAAAATGAAATCCTGGCTACGCGCTTGTTTCAGGACCGCACGCCCTCTCAAAGAACATATATTGTTATAACATAAATGCAATTTGACAATAAATAAATAGCAAGACGTATTGATAGGAGACGATAGGAGATTCGAGGATACGAGACGACTCTGTGGGTATAATATATAAGAGCAATGGCCTCGTATCAAACCAGAAGGTCTCTGGCCCAAACCAATTTGATGTGCTTATGCCCTTTGTAAAGCAAAGCATTAATCGTCAATTATTTCCCGTTACAAAGCCAGTCGGAGAAGATGTGAAGCCGTCGGGACCCTGCTTGCGTATTTACGTGTACAGGTGTACAATCATACACGTACTTCTTTGGCAGTCAGGGATAGTTAAGCCAAAGTATTGTGTGCTGCTGAAATCATGAGAGTACTGCATATTAGCTCAAGTAAACCGTTATAGTAACGTATAAGAAGCAGAAAATATAGTATTTAAAGACGAATCACACGAAGGTAAACTCTCACATGACTACTGCACTCAGTGGTTTCCATTGCAGTCTACATAGGATGTATCAATTTTCTCGTTATGAGTGTCTCTCAACGACTAGTGTATCATGCCTCTAACAACGTGACATGGATGTCTCTCCTAAAACATTGTCTCATTCAGCCTCCCATTACGAAGAAAGATAAAAACACAATCGCAAAGCCTTTTGAAAAATCAGCATAACATGCCGAAAGCGAATGTAATGACACAGTACATCACATTGAAATGTGCGAACATTGCTACGATAAATAACCTGACATAATCAGAATATGATCACTAAAGGCAATACAATAATGCATTGAAATTTCCCTTAAAATTAAGCGTATCTGCACTAGTTTGGCCAGGCGAGATAATACCTCCCTGCGTGGTCACTGACAGGTGGTTATCTCATCAATTCAGCTCTCAATTAACATAAGAAAAAGAGGATCATGGGGAACCAATGGTCACCGATTAGGCGTTGTTTGCCATAAATATATACGGCGTAAGTATAGCTACCAGTAGTGCAATCCCGCCCTTTAAGATGATTTCTTGAAAGTCTTTGCGATCGTGTAAATTTATAAGATGCTTGGAATAGACCTACCGGGGGTGTTTCACAAAGATCCTAAGTTGAACTTATCTCTAAGTTGGACTTAAAATTTATGGAAAGCCGTTAGCATCTATGAAAATATTTTGTAAAAAATATTTTAAAAGGCATAAAATGTTGATTCAAATCACTCATATTTTCGAATATCAAGGAGATTTCATGTTCTTGATGTGGAATTTATAAAAAGTCTAAAATACTTAAATTTTATATTTTATTTTAAGTCTACAAATGGCTCTTCATAATATTTAAGTCCAACTTAGAGTTAAGTTCAACTTAGGATCTTTATGAAACACCCTCTGGTATATACTTGGTAGAAAGGCCCTACTCCCCTCTTATTCGACTATAGGCACAATAGTACAGGTTCGACCACTATGTTTAATGCGTATAGAAGTGACCATGCAACTTAGATTCATCAACGACGTCCTCTGCAATAAGACTGCTCAACGTGAATCTATAAATATTTGACTGTCCGAACACTGAAACTGTAAACATATTTCATTCCGTCGTTTCATTAATTCATTAGTGTTCCTTTTTAATTTCGTTTTACTACAATTCTATACCCTGGCCTTGCCAAATATTAAATTTGGTTTTTTTATCAATAATGTATATTGCAATATCTTATTCGAAATGATGCAATGTTGTTATTTAAATATCAAGTTGTCTCGTTTTAGATGAATACTGTTATTACATGTACATTTAACAACAGCAATTGCTAAATACCTTTTGAACTCTTATTTTCTTAGACATATAACTTTTTTTTTTTTTCATGCACATTAGTTGATTTTTGGTTTTAAACAAACCGCTATAATATAACGTATGCAACATATAATTGTATTCAATTTACTCTCAGATTGCCTCAAACTGTAAACACAGTTCAATCCGTTGTTTCATTAATTCATTAGTGTTCATTTTTTACTACAATTTTATGTCCTTGTCAAATATTCAATTTGGACTTTTTTTGTCCAATATAATGTGCAATATCTTGTACGAATTACCCAATATTGTTATTTAAATACTCATTCTAATTTTACTGAACAACTCTCTTGATTTAGATGAATGCTGTCACTAAACTTACAAGAGAAAACGGAATAGAGACTATCATTTTGATTTTTTCCGGTTTAATTTCATCTCTTCCTATATATTTGTTATGCTTAATTTCAATTTTTGTAATAGAAATGATTTCATAGCAATTGTTTAATATTTTCTGAAATATTTCGCTCAATTCACTCCCTTTTTGCTCCATTCTCTCCTTTTAACCGTCTTGGTCTTTCAACATAAAATTGTATTTTAACTGCATTATACAAATAACCTTTTTCTGCAATTTTGATTTCATCTTGACAACGCTATATAATTTCTGCAAAAGTTGATTCACAATATGTGGGTTTAACATTATATAAAACTTGTTTTCCCTCAGCAAACAAAAAGATGAAGTTTGTTCTATATGAACGGTTTTGGACAGATTGGGGTCGAATTCATCTTTCCTGGATGCCCAAAATCTCTTTGAGTTTTTTCTCAAAGTGTTAATTGTGGTGGGTTTTCTACTACATGAGATTGTACTATGCATTATTGACGGTATCGACCCGCGTCGACCGAGATCGTCGATTACGCCATCAAGTCAATTTACCCGAGTTTAAATCTGCGTTGACATACCGACGACATATGCATTATGTTACGTAATCAACCCCGCATTGTCACATCGCCAGAACGCTCAATGCACAGTGTATGAATGATGTGTTTTGTGTCATACCGTCTGCTATTATGATCCCTACTTTAGTCAGTACATCATTTTCTTGTTGCATACGTCAATGAAAATAAAAATAGATGTTTTGATTTTCTTATATAAGGTTGAAAATGCCTCATTACACATTCTGGTAAAAGATGTCTATTGCGACGTTATTGGGATCTTCTTGAGGGTTCTTGCTCACACTCGAATGATCTCTTGTATAGATACCCTGGCGGTATTTCCATCGCATCAATATCGAATAACATGAATGATTTTAGCACTTAGTTCAGTTAACACAAAATTCAATATAAAATAATAATAATATATGTCATTATACATTATACATGAGACTTAAAAGGTGTCAAATTTACTTGAAATCAAATGCTCAATGCGCACTGAAGAGCTATAGTGAAAAAGATGAATCTCATTATAAGCTTCTGTAATGTGCACAACAGGAGTAAGAAGGGACATTGCAAAATAAACGAGAACAATTAATAATGCCAAATCAAACAGATACATTTTAAGATTATTTTGAGCACTTCAAATACAATGTTCTAGAGAAAAGATGAACTTTAAAAAAAGAAGAAGAAGTGTATAGCGTTGGGATATGTAAGGGTTAGTTCTTAGCCGTAAAACGTGTGATTGACATACTTCTACTCACCATTTACAAATCCATACATTCTCCATTTCCTTGGTGCTATCTTTTCCTCTTTCTTGACAGTGACGAGGGCCGAACTTTGGTCTCTGCCCTGTTCAACCTGTAACGCTTCCCTCCTTAACCCCTGTATTACCCCTGCCTCTAAATCTGCATCTCTAACGTGTAAATGCATTGGCGCCTCGACAGGTCTCTCTGGCATGATCGAATCTCTGGCGACCACGTACTGAATATTCCCGCCATCGACATCGATGCCGTTACCGGGTGCGTTTAGTACAAGGAATACATAAGCTGGAAGCGCGATGAATACGATGAGGAGCGCCGTCCGGACGATGGTGACCGGGTGACGACGGAGACGAGGAAAGCGCGGGAGTCCGAACGGGGAAGTCCTGGACGATAGACGAGTCGTAGTACTGCTGGAAGAGGATGCTAAGCGAGGCATGATGATCACCGACGAGGCGACTCAGCTCACCCACCGCTACCTATAGTCGAGACTCAATTCAAACATAAGTGTGTGAAGAAGGAAAAGAATCTCCAAAATATATATGATCTTTCCGTTCCGTACAGATGTCATCGATCACCTCATGTCATAACGGCATTTGAAGTTGTCACTGATATATCCTGATATTAATATCCAAACTGAGTGCGTCGGCTGAGGACGATATCGTTTTTGCGAGCGACCACTCACAAGATAGACTGTCTATAGAATGAGTTTACATCTTCTGAACGACGCGAGGCACCGGCCGGTCGTACGGCTTTCTTACACACAAACACACACGCACACACCACGTCTCTTTTTGTCAGCGCACTCTTTGAGCATAGCTTGCATTCACTGTACGCAACTCTATTCATTCTGCTCACTCACTGCAGAGCTTTGCCTCTTGAAACCGAGCTCTACTAATTATCCCTTAACGCTGATTTCCCCCTCATCATGCTGGCTGTTCATAGCCTCATTTGGGGGGCATGCACCAGGAAACAATAGACCTGTTTTAATAATAAGTTGTGTGTCTATTTCTTGAAGAAAGGTTTTCTTTGACATATCGAGGCTTGCTAAACACCAACAGCTAATGTTTGCAAAGTGATTTCCATCTATATAGATCATATGCTATTATTGCATAGCAGCTGAATCAAATAGTTTGTAATTAGAGATTCTGGCGAGAAACGTGCATGAATTGAACTTTAACAAATAGTAAACAGGTCATCCGAGCAACATATAAACGCCCCTCACCGTACAAAATATGTGTATTGCCAATCATTGTAGTAGTCGGGCGCATAAAAAGGGATTCCTTTAAAATCTGTTTCTAAATAGTTTTTGTGGTTTTTATTACCACTTTGTCAATACGGCTACACAAAGAAAAAGAGCCCATTCACCAGCTTTGATTTCAAAAGGCGTTTCGGTACTTAGGATTTACCTGATTCAGCTTTCTTTTGTATGAGTTATTCTAAGGATTACCCCATCGAGTTATCCCCAAGACGTTAGTGTTCTTGAAAGGCAATACAAGGCTTTACCGTAACTATATAGGAGGATTTGACCAAATCAAATAGGTGTACCTTGTACATACTAACTCGTGCTTGAAAGCAAACAAATGACAAATTTGTTTAAGTAAATATTACCACAGCGACCATTAAACCCTAGCAGGGATAATATTAAAATGAACTTTGGTCCGCCGTTGATGAAAAAAGCTCGTATGATTTACAAAATATAATTTGTTGATGTTATCAAAAACATCATGCAAAGATTAAAGTACAGCCAATCTGACAAGAAATAAGGAAACGGTTTGCTGCTTGCGTTTCTTTCTTCATTTGTTTACTATTATTATTATTATCATTACTATTATATATATATATTTTTTATTTATTATTTTTTATTGGGGGGAGGGGGAGTGTATTTTTTTTTAATGACACGTATTTTACTTCGTTGTCCATTTTTCCCTTCACTAAAAAGCCTATCCGTAATATCATGACATAGCAAAAAAATTATAAGAATGATAATGATAACAATAATTATAATAATAATGATAATTATGATGATAATAACAATTAAAAAATAGTAATAATAATAAAATAGTTACGTAATAGAAAATATAAATTATACTAACAGCAACTATTTTAGTTATTATCATTATCATTATTATTATTTATATCATTATCATAATCGTTATTATTACTATTATATTATTATTATCATCATTACTATTATCATCATCACATTATGATATTTATCATCATTACTTTCATCAACATATTATTGCTGTTATTATTATTATTATTATTTGACTATTTAATGATTTTCATCTGTTGTTTTATTGTATTCTGTGATTGATATTCTTCTTCTTTTTAAATTGATAATGAATAATAAGAATAAATATTTATAGATATCAAGATTATTACATGTCTGTAGACCAATATTATGCCGTATAATGGAACGCCTGAAACAAGCAGAACGATCTTTATCTTGTACGATATGATAGTTTATGGTAATACATGTTTTACGTTGTTTTTCAGCGGAAAATTAATAATGAATACAATAATAATAATAATCATAATAATAATCATCATAAAAATAATGATAATAATATTTACAATAATAATTATAATGATGATAATACTTACAAAATTACTGTTTCTTATCAATCGTTTTGGCATTTACAGCGCAACCGACCAAAGCGCTTTTACAGTATCATTACCCCGTAATTTTTGATTATGATATGGCATATTCAGATAGGCCTACCTTCTATTTTACAGACCTCTTGCTTTTTTAAATGTATCCCTTCATTTATTATTTCACCTATTGGTATGGATAGTATTGTTTATATTTCATTCTACTTGTGAATGGTTATTAAATTAAATTGACATTTTTTTTACAAAATCGATTCAAACCGCATAAGCACCTGTTTCATCATGTTTTCATTTGTGTTCACATTACAGGAAAGTCCCGAGTTATACAATATCACATGTAAACACAATATGGCCTACTCTATAAATAGGGAAGTGTTGTAAAATCTCCCTGCGGTCGCACAGTATGAGACGCAGGGTTCCCTTGAGTAAGAATATCATACTTGCAGTATATGGAGTTCATCTAACAGCCAAACCGTAATGAGTTACACTCCTCGTGAAAAACCCGGTTAAAGGGGTTGTTAACATTTTTGGGGCAACTAAAAAAACACACACTTTGTTAGGAAACCCAGTCAAAGATTTATTTTACTATAAAAAAAGACACATTCAGATCATTATATCATATTTTGTGTCTTCGCTATATAACAATATTTGAGAATAATCATGAATCATAATCCAAAGCAATTTAAACACAACTCGAATATAAAAGAGACTCCGCTCCTTTTAAAGGTATTACAAAGTTTTGGGAAATTTTGAAAAATGGGTGAATAGTGATTCTTTACAATTTTGATATATTTGGATGCCCCTGTGGATGTGTTAAAAGCACTAGAAATTTTAACCCTTAAAACACTTCTGCTTTCAAGAAAAATTGAATATAAAGATTTACCGGTGCTCCCGGTAAATTTTGATAAATTTTAAATAGCTCCTACGGCCGTACAATGGTAGCTGCGACCATGAAAATCTCAGAATACGGTATGTAGTTGTGGTATATAATTTGCGAACGGGAATAGCTAATCGGTCGATATTAGTCAAGAAACATTGTTTTATATTTGCGATGATGGTTGATAGTTGAGAGCGAGTTCTGTGTGATCCTGTAGACTGGATATTACGCTAAGCGAATTATAGCTTAATTAATATCTTATAGCTTAATTAATATCTTGACCTTGAGAGGGAGCTATACAATATAAAGTGATTATTATTTATAATTTCATAACTTAAGACTCGATTTCGACCGCGACGACGATCACTGAATATTGTAGGATCGCATATGCTTCCAATATGTTCATTTGAACCAAATTCATGTCCCCATACCAAAACTTTGTATTACCTTTAACATACTTAGTAAATTATTGACGATCTCCTGCATTTTTTAATTTTGAAATGATTTAAAGGTATTATTACTTTGTATTATGTTGAAAAATGCAGAAATAAATCAATCAAATCGAATCAAACTCAAACTGTGCTTACAACGCCCGCTTTGTTCTATGTATAACTTTATGTGTATCTTTTCACAAATTTGTTTGCTTGTTTAGAGTGTATTTATCATTACTAAAAATAAGGTTGAATAGTCTCACAAATTATTGTAATTAATGTAAGAATTTCTTTTATTTTTGGTAAGTAGTTTCTCTGCTCCAAAGATTCCTATTCCCATTGGAGGTGAAGAGAAACACAAACAATAACAGCGGGCATTTTTCTAGGAGATGGTATTTTGCTTGTTGCCATAGTAACTTAAAATACACCGTAAGAAGTCAATATATATTGTATATGACATTAAGTAGTGGATTATACGTCTTGTTTAAAGCAGGCTTTCACTGAAAGGAAAATATAGTTATATCAAGCACAATATAATCTGATTATCCATTTCCCTTGTCTGTTCTCTTTGTTTCTTTCATTATCTCGTGCAGGTCTTTATTGCCCATTTCCTTCTTAAATATTATCCAGTGCCGGCACTAGGGGTGGGACAAGGTATGCCCCCCCCCCCCCAGGCCCCAACGTAAGCTCCTGTAATCCTGTCTTGTATTACAGACCTTTCTTCTTCTCCTTGTTCTCCCTTTTTTACAAGGTTATAAATTGTGCAATAGCTAGACCTAATGCTATTTTTGTCAGTCATTGTATTCAATTTCTTTATGTCGTAATCGAAATTCTCCATGTGCGACACACGAATCTAGCAATCCACTTATTGACTTAGTACCAAAGACGTTTAAAAAATTACTTAGTAGCCTACACTGTTGGTATAGATTGGGGATACGTTACACCAATATACTCCTTTTCAAAGAGTATTTACATTATCACACGTTTACCTAGCAAACAGTTATTCCATTTATACACCTGGATAGAGCATCGTATTTTGATAGTTGAAATACAAGGTGCTGTTAGGTCGGACAAACATGTTAATAAATCCTACCGAATAACAAGTAATGTATGCAATTTGCATTCTGACTATTGAAATACAATCATAATTTTGTAAAAAATTGAATGAAACAATTCATTAAGAGGCCTTAAAGCCCCACTGCACTAGTTTGGTCAGGAGGGATTAGACCTCCCTGCATGGTCACTGACAAGTGGTTATCCAATCAAATCAGCTCTCAATAACATAAGAAAAAGGCATCATGGGGACATGGTCACCGATTAGGCATTGTTGGCTATATAGAGGGCGCAAGTAGCTATAGTTAGTGCAGTAGGGCTTTAAAATGCATTACATTTGGCGTTACGTAAATGGACTATCAATCTCCATCCAAGCTGCATATGGGATCGTATTAGAGTTTGCAGCAAAGCAAAGTGTATTTATATCTCGTGTGATCATCGTGGTAAGGCTAAGGTCGCCCTCTCACGACTTAAACACGATAGTGATTGTCTTTATTCTCACCGTCGAGCAAAACTTTTCGGATGGGACTTGGACCTATATCTTGGCAGGCTGATGGGGAAAACAAGATTGATTTGATTGATATGTGATCATTCAAAATGAGCATTTCATATCAAGTCAAAGTTTGCATATTGTTAAGTTGAATTATTATTATTGTCATATAAGCTGAAAACCTTATGGTTTTTATCATTTATAATTTAGTCCTATATTACAATTTCAATTTTTATTATAGGCTCTTCATGATGTGAATTTTATTTGCATGGATTTTATGCCACATCATAATTGCTTCATATTGTATTCTCAAAGCAGCGCTATGAAACAGGGTTTTATAGGCAAATCATTCAGAAGCACAACCCTATGAATTTGTCACTCCTCTAACCGGCTCAAAACTAACTTCACAAACATCATTGTTTTAGCTGGGCATGTGAGGTGTGCTCAGTGGCATGTCAGCCCCCCCCCCCCCGAATTCAAATTAAAGTCTATTCAGGCGGTCATCACCGAAGTAAGGTGTTCTGTTTGTAAAATCAGTATGCATTTTATAACTCTCGATCAAGAGTCACTTTTGATTTCTCTCTTTAATTCATTATTCTCTGGTGATTAAAAGAGAAATGAATACTGATAATCGGGCAAGAAAAATCGCCCTGGCCTAAATCATGCAGTAGGTCTACACCATGATGACGTTTATATATTTGTTTTTCTTGTGACATTCAGTGAAAAATAGATAGTCGGTATATATACCATTTATTTTATTTATTTATGATGTTAGTTGTTGGCTACTCTACTCTGAATTTGATTTCTCATGTAAATTTATTCATTTATATATTTATCAGTATATAGTATTGCGTGTATTTGTATTCTCATTGTAAAAACTGAAATCTTGAAACAAAAGTGGGACCGCATAGATTATGATCAAGGAGTGATTATGTCACCTCCCTGATAATTATGATGCAAGCGTGTCTGCATGCACGGACTTTGATTTCGCTGCTACACCAGTAGTTTGTTAAGTATGTACTAAACGCATATTGAACCACGAAGAGCATGTTGTGATCAGCTAAATCCTCACATGTGTTACAGTAGTTGCAGAACACACGGCTAGAGAAATACATAAAAATGGCGTTTTCTTCCTCCAGATTAGTACTAAAAGCAATTAGCAGGACAGTCAATAGTGGCAGACAATTTAGCAGCTTCAAATCATCATCCAGATATTTGCTAAAATCGTCAGAAGAATGTCAAACACCCCGTACATTGTCACGATCGATGTGGAACCTATGCACCGGCAGCCGGCGAAGCTCAACGGGGAACCGCGGGGACGGCACGCTAGGTCCGCTGGCTTGTGGAGTAACAAGGGTTTCGAGGCCAAGTAAAACATGTTCATGTGGCTGTAAAGGCGCTTGTCTGCATACCGAAGGTAACTTTAAAAGATTTGTGACTCTTTGTCCCTAACAATCAGTGACAATACTTGTATTGATGTCATGAAATGTAATTTAAATCATTAATATCATGATTATTGCCGGTTTGGCCAAGTTTGGGTTTCAATTCAAATAAACATGAAATTGAAAATTAATCACGCGACTAACAGTAACAGTAACAAGCTGGGCGCTAGTTCAGAATCATATCCAGACTTTGACTTGTAACTCTGGGGTGTAGAATTTTAGATACCCTACTAAAATATACAAAAAATTGACTAGGTAAATCTTCATCAATTGTTCTAATGATTTAAAAGTTAAAGTCGTTTATGTTTCTTTACCTGTTTCGTGTCAATTTTCTCATCTTTTTTTGGAGTATTTTTCCTAAATAAAAAGAAGACTTATATCTATACACTTTCTCACGGAATTCACAGCAAACTGCTGCACAACACACGACTTGCATACCGTTCGCGTACTGATGGTGGGGTGTGGGCGCGCGTGTGTCAAGTTTGGGACTGTAATCTTGATATTGAATAAACAAATATGAAATTCAATTCAAATACTTACAAGTTAATACATGTGCATAATTTTTCCATTTTTCTCTTTGCGGTTTACAGCTGACAGTGATTTAGTGAATTTCTTGAAGGAGGAGATTGAGGTTGAGCAAGACAGTCTGACAAATGTCCCAAAGGTTCCAGGTTTTGAAGTTACCGTAAACGACGCAGACATCAAACTCACTCGAGATATAGAAGCAGAGAGGTAAAAATGCTTCATATTTGCAGTTCATTTGTCGGTATCATTCATAGACTATGTAAAGATAGACCTAAACAAAAACTTAGTTTTTCTCATGGTTCATGCATCTTGGGGGCAGCTATTTATGCAATGTGCAAAATAGTTGTGTGTCTTTAAGTATTGGGAGGGGGGGGGGTTCTAAATACAACTTTCTCCGGATTACGAGATCACTGCTCTACCGACTGAGCTATCGCGCCTCCTCTGAACAACAAAGAGAGTGTTTTTCTAAACTTTTATCAGGTTTATGATACTGTAAAATTGTTACTTTTGAATTTATTATTATGACAGATATTGCTTTTTTTGTATTGCAATACCTACACTGTACAGTGTATTTCAATTTAGAAGGTATTGCTATTGATTTTCCCGCCTTCTCAGTAGGCCACTTCACACTAGGCCATTACACAAAATTCACACTAGCCCAAATACCACTATTTTACTTTAACATCATCATTAATTCATCATGTTGCGATAATATTGCATAGTACTGTTGACCTTGTACAAAAAGGCCTGAGAAATTTGTGGTAATTGCATGCTTTGCGTTTTGACGAAGCTTGTACTCAGATTTTAAAAAAATTGCATTTAATAATACCCATTTCTTTCTGATTTTTATTTGAAAACAGGATAACAGTTCGATTCAACATCAACCATTCAGTAGAGATGGAAGGTGGTGCTGAGGAAGGCCAAGAAGAAGCTGCTCCTGAAGTGAGTATCTGGACCAGCCCCCCTCCTCCCCTCCCGAAGTTCTGGCACTGCAGTCTTTAAAATGCCTACTCCTCCCAGTTTTTGTGTTACCATCAGAGTAATTGATGAGTTTTACGAGCCGGGCTCCACAATCACCCTTTCACAGGGGGTTTGGATTGAAGTTTTTAAGGAGTATGTTTACTACCCTGCTCAAACTACTACTAGGTGAAATTATAACATTTTGGGCGTTTCAAAAACGTTCAATTAAAGATTTGGAGCTCATGTTCACCAGCCCTATGTAGCCAAATCAAAGTTGTGTACTATAAATAATGAATAAATAACATTTTTAGTCAAGAATATACAATGAACATGGATTTTATGCATAAGAGTTTATTTTATTCTTTCTTTCATTTTATTTATTTATTTTTTGTTTCGGGGTGGGGAGGAGGAAACAAACATATGAAAAGTAGTAATATGTGTGCTACATAGTAGTGTGAGAGAGTGGGAGATTTCAATACAATTTCAATACTATGCTTTTTTTTGAAGGGCAAATGACCTGGGCATAATAGGAAAAAGCAAAGAAAAAAATGAGGAAAACACAAGCCTTAAATGCAGATTGCTGTAGACACTATTCTAATTATTATTTTTTTTTTTTTGGCAGATAACACATGATATCAAAATACAGAATTGAAAATAATTAATTAATAGCAAATCGCACAAAAATACATGAGCACTGGGTGCACCCGACTGTGCTGCCAGGCCTTGGGCAAAGTTAACCATATAACTATAGTCCGCAGACCGCCCTCAACTATATCCCAACCAGATGCAACCAGTGCTGCAGATTCATGTGACAAGGACAATCTAAGAGATACAAAATAGATCATGTTAACAACAAGCCCTTCTTTCCTTCTCCCTTCTCCCATGTAGATGAGATCGTATCCAGACTTCAACGTCGAGGTGAGCAAGGGAGGAGCAAACAGCCTGAGAATAAGCTGTGCCTACCAGAGAGACGATGTCTTAGATGATCAGGAGGTCGATGCAGAGCCTGACGATGATGAGCTCTTCCTCATCGATGAGGTTCTGTTTGCCAAAGAGGGAGCATCGACGGACACCCTTGAGGGCGCTTATCGTGTGGGGTCAGAGGTCATGAATGGGGTAAGGGAAATAATCATAATAATAATATTTGCTTATATAGCATTAAATACAATGTCTCTAAGCACTTGCAATTACCCCGGTCATTGGATTCAGTGCTTGCCCGCACACAATGTTTAGAATCTAGCATTCATATTTTTGGGCCCTCAAACTAATTTTATGAACCTAGATTCTTATCTTTTTATGCAAACTTCTCTGTGAAAAATATATAAAATGATTGTATTCCTAACTTTTGCCTGGAGGGATTCCTAGTTTTTGCTATGAAAGGTACTTATTTTGTGTTTGTTGATCAATAGGTCATGACTGATCAGATCATTTCTTTAAAAAAATTCTTTTATTGCAGCTGAGTGTAAGCTGCAAAAGAGACTCAGAGAAAAAATACCAAACAAATCGCTGATATTGTCTGAAACAAAGCTTCCGGGAAAGCAAAGCAAAAGTGAGGGGATCTTGGATAAAGTTCTAGCTTTATGCTTGATCAATGATGATGAAAACCAATTCTCTTCATTCAAGCAAGTGATTGCTAGTCAGTGTGAAGCATTTGCTTGTTAGGATATCTTTGCCATTGTTTTCTAACAGTTGATTTGAATTTTCAAGTTATATAAATATGACCCATGCCACTCACGTGCATCAATGTGTTTTAATAAATTCAATAAGTTATGTGGGAATTTTATAACGAAAATGCCCAATATTTTGCAATGATTGTGATGAATGCTGGCTTGGCTTTTCCACTTCTCGTATTCTTAAAGATACATTTTGTGCTGCCAATTTACATAGCTATCTAATAAAAGTTGTATTTTGGAAGTACATCTAGAGTCATTGAAGATAATGATTACATCTGCCCTAGAGCAAGAAGTCATACTTCAATCTGTAGCATTTTCATAGGATAATTCTTGTGGCTCGCAACAGATGATGTGATATGTGGTTTATACAAAAGAGAATGTTATTGTATTATTGTAATTATTTTTATTATTTGTTTATCTTTATCATTATTGTAGGACCTTTATGATCATCTGAAGAACTACCTAGCCGAGAGGGGGATCAATAAGGATTTCTGTGAGAAGCTTTCAGACTTATCCAGTGCAGTGGAACATCGGCAATACATTGGCTTTCTCAACCAACTCCAAGGGTTCGTTAAGAAATGAGTCGACTGAATCTATCTTGGACTTTGTAGTTCGTCATCTTTTTTTAATAAATCTCCGGCTGTCGGTGCGGACATACGAAGACTGAAGTCGTGCTGTACCCTGAGAGACTATACCTGAATACTACAGATGTTATGGAATGCATGTTCACGTGCAGTTGGATAGAAAGATACCTGTGTGCATGACGTTTTTAATCATGTTATACAGGGTGGCCCCAAAAGAACGCAACACCCACGATCTGCAAACATCATTGGCACACTGTCGTTGGTTTTTGTTTTATTGAGTAGAATTTTTTTTCTAGTAACACAACATCATCATCATCAATTTTGGGTGAGGTGTTTTAATTCTTAGGCTATTTTTGTGAAGCAACGTCATTAAAAAATGGCTACTTATGCATCCTTAGTCGTGTTTAAAGCAGCAAGTACTGTATTTTGTGCATAACTGCTTCCCATACATTTAGCCATGTTGAAAGGAAATGTCATGTGTTTGTCAACACAACTGATTGTATGGGAAGCCATTGCAGATCTCCCAGTGTTGCACTGGGCCACCCTGTATAATACAAAAATCATTGTTGATGTTTTGATTATTCGAAAGTCCTCTCAGTCCTGCAGTTAGTTGTTTGGTCTTAAACGCTGAGCTAGCATGAAACCTTAATGTATTCCTTACTAAATAAAGAATTATGTTCTTCAGTTCTTGAATTTGAAGTAATAATCTTACACAAAAAGACAAAGTATAACATAACAGTTTTACCTGATTTTTAACCAAAGCAACTTCATTTATTATTAATAAATATAGTAACAAACAAAAGAACAGACCAAATCCAATGTTATGACTCATTTTTGTACTAAAATCATGATAGAACCCCAATATATAAGTAAATATGATTTCTACCACAATGTTTTGCAGTTAGAAACTTTATTTGTTCTTTTAAACATCACTTTTTACAAAGAAATCAATTAAATTATTTGAAAATATTGCAAATCGATGATGATTTTGCATTTCTGAATACACCTGTAAAAAAATAGCAAACAAAAATGCTTTCCATGACATATGATACTGATAATTTGGAAAGTACTTTTTCTGCCAAGGCTCGCTCATCAATTAGTTTGTGTAATCAAATGACTTTTAGGGCAGAAAAGAAGAATTGTTTAAACATGCGCTCCTTGTGTCTAGTGTTCCATTGTACATGAAAGAAAAATGATATGTTTGTGAGGTACTACACCTTTAAGTCATTATCAGACTTTGTATGGACGAGTCTATAATCTATTAAAATCAGGTCTATTCCATTCACTGATCAGCCTTGAATAAGAGAACATTATTTGTTTGAGTAGTAATAGTAGTGTCAAAGATGCCAACCAGTACGATTAAATCGTATTTAGTACGATAATAAGAGTAAAATACGATAATGCGATATCACCTCTTTAAAAAAAGTTTTAAAACCCGTAAAAACAGCGGAATCGCATAGATACAAGTAAACCCCCGCGACCCCCCAAAAAAACTTTGCTTTATAATTTTAATGAAAGAGCAAACATTTTACCTGACCGTACTTACCAGTAAAACATTTTTCTGAAATGTTACTGGCCCGGGGCCGACGGGCCAGTGGTAGTGTCAAGTTTTCGTGAAAATCTGATTTCTCTCTCCAAAATCTGATTTATTTTTTTCCGGATACTCTGTCTTTTTTTGTGTGTCAAGAGGTTGGCATCTCTGTGGTGATGTGTCAGATTTTGTATCAGCTCACAGCCACATCACATGTTTGTGTTTTTTATGCACAGGTTGGGGTTTTTATTTGCATTATTATTTTCAATTGGATATACATGGACATTTTCTTACTATTTAAAAGAAATCTTGAAAAGACTACAAATATCAGCAATAATTTTCATACAATACACAGGGCTCGACACCCACAGGCCCCCGGACAGTTGGGATACCCAAAATCTGAGTCTGGACCCCCCAAGATTTGCACTTTTTACATAGGGCTCATTCATACATATTGTAAAAAGTTCTATCCAGACCCTCTTCCAAAAAAGATGGTATGGAGCCCTGCAATATATTTGATCCTGCATTTCTCAAGTCAGGACGAAAATGCTTAGATGTAGGGCAATTCTGCAGGGTAGGTAACAAACTTATCCAGAGACTTGCACATTTATGAACATTCTAGATTTACAATATTTCATCCAGTGAAGTCATCGACAAATTGTTGCCCGTTTATTTTGCTGGAAAATTGTACCCCCCCCCCCTACCTCATAAGAAAGGTTTGCGACAAAAAATTGTACAATAATTTGTAAATGGAATTTCCCTATATTGTGGCAGAGCTAGAGTCCTTTTTGAAAAACAGTTACCAGATTACCGTATTGGCCCAGGAATTAACAGTAAAATATATTTAAAAGTAAACAGAATATGGATATCAGGGAAGTACGAAAATGGAATAGTCGAACATTTTTCAAATTTTATATTATTGAAGGTAGTGTAATGAAACTGATGAAATTACATTTACAAAGCTAGAGAGGGGTTGTACAATGCATGCTCCAGCCATAATTGCTCTCTGGTCACTCAATATCCTGCGCTAGTAATAAATTTCTCAGATTCAACCTTGGAACAACACTATATGTGTTCTGTAATCTACCCCTAATCCTGAATCTAACATGATGAAACCGATAGCTCAGTTGGTAGAGCTGTGGTCTCGTAATCCGGCGACCCGGGTTCAAAACCAAGGCAATGCGTTAGTACCCTTTGTTAAGGCATTAATCCTCAATACCAGGTCTCTTGGAGAGGACCTTAAGCTGTCGGTCCTCTGGTTGCTTACTATTTTTTCTTAGCAGTTAGGCAAAATAATGACCACTCATTTAATAACATAATATAATAATAATATAATATAATAATTCCCAACCATAACCCTGTATCGTTGATTTAATACATCCCAGAGCACTTGCCACCAAAGCATATGTCCCAACAACACCTCAAAAATGACCATTTCAGAAAAAGTGTGCATAGAAGATGAGATGCATATATTTGGCCACACAAGTTGTAAATCCACTCTTTAGTCAATCTTGATAATGAATTGCTTGAGCTACATCGATTGTAATAATAATAATAATAATAAGTATAGGCATTCTTAGCGCCGTCTACCGGTATCTAGAAATTCTATTCCGAGGCGCATTTATTATTACCCCGGCTGTAGCCTAGCTGCCATTACAGCCCTCCAGTATTTCAAGGAATTCATTCCTGCCAGGTACCCATTTACATCACTTGGGTTGAGTGTGGCAAATGTAGATCAATGACTTGTAATATCAAGTGCAAACTTATGATCATCGTGCCAGTTCCCAGATTCTCTATGGTGAATGATGTTCCCTGAACTTCTTCACCGCAAAATATTATTCATAACTGTGAGAGTCAAACGATGAATTCTATGAGTAATTGTTCAGGCTGTATTGCTCTCTCGGATTGGGATAGATGATTGGTGGCTGCATGTGGTCTTTGAACGAAAATGAGTCCATTGGTGTATCCCACAGGTACAGTGAAACCTGTCTGTAAAGACCAGCAATGGAGCCAAGAAAAGTGATCTTTGTAGACAGGTGATCTCTATGAACAGGTGGTCACTAAAGCAGGTTTGACTGTATTACTCCTGTCTCTGTATCGTTCTGTCCGTCATAAGATCACACATCTTGATTTTCGTCTACTCTCGACCTGGGAAAGGAAAGATGAGAAGGTCCAATCTGATTTCAATCGATAAACAACCATAACATCACATTCACTGAGGGCAGTGGTCATTACAGATAAATAATGTTGATATAAAAGTTCAGATAGAAGAGGTCTGACAGAGGGAGAGTACACAGCTAATTCCGTAGAACACAATTATAAAAAAGACCATTGCAGTTGAATGTATATAGATTGAGAATTTACCGGCTAGAACCTAATTAAAAAAGTCGTGGTTAGTGTTGGTCCGTTAATTGGTTTGTCATTTTCATTGTGTTGCAATGACTTATATTAAGAGGAAGTCACTACTACTACTAGTGGTTAAAAATTGATATTTATGAAGATTGCTATTTGAGGTCTTGCTATATTAGCTCCAATATTAAAGTATAATAACATTTTATGAAATCAGGAAAAACAAAACAACTAGAAATATATCGTTGAAGCAAACAATTTGGCCTCCTCAGCCATACAGAATAGGTTTGAACGGGGGTGTGCTGCTCAAGCCTCGAACCCCCTACCCATTATTAGGGGTCATTTTTCTCGAAAAAAAGACCGATGGAAATTTTGAAAAAACGGACCCATTTTCAATGGAATTTTTGTTAAAAGTGGAACCCATGTTTAGGGGAAAATTGCAGTAGAGACTTGATTAAAAGTGAGAAATGACATGCACTTCAAACTAACTGTTTTACTCACCAGGTTCTCATTGTCGATGCCTCTATCGAGTCTATGTTCCCAAGCTGTTGATGCCACAGAGAATCTTCTAGATGTCCCATGTTCTGGACATTTTGATGTCTCTACATTCTGTTCTGTCCTTGCTAGGTTAATACTTCCATTGCCTCGGTCAGACCCCAATCGTTCATTTCTCTTATGTGGGTTTGCCAATGTTGCTTCAAGACTTCGCATTGTCCTGTTCGGTTCAGTAAGTAACATGGATCTATTGGCGTTAATGTCTTTGGTCACAGAGCAAGTATCCACACCATTCGGTCGTATCCCAGTTCGACCTCTTTCTAGCTTTTCTGAAGATATGATACCCCTTTCGTCCTGTTCGTAGCACGTAGGTTTGTCCCTGAAGTCTGCGATGGAAGCGCTGATTCGACGTCTTCTGTGATTGCGGGCGCACGTGCACCTTGCTGGTTTGGTAGGCACGTCATGAGGTCTTGGAGGAAAAGATAATGGCTGTAGAGGTCCGGGTTTCGTTCTTGGTTTATTTGTTATGCCTTCTTTAGAATCTGATGGCTACAAAAGTAGAAGCAAATACATGTCTGAATAAGAATATCACACCAAAGCTCACTCGATATCTGCAAAATAAAGAGCTTGAAAATTAGTATCCATGGGGAGACGAGAGTTATGACAGAATACTTGTCCAAAGCATTTGTAACGTCAAGATGATCAATAAAAACTAAGATCAGGTAGAAATATTACCTTTACATTTGATTTATACATGTTCAAGATTTCCATTTTTCTCAGCAAATCTTAGAAACGTATTCTGAAGCAAACATACAAATGTATATATATATCTAAAGCTGATACTCCCTAATGTGCCTTTTAAAGAGTCTTCTAAAGATGTTTAGAATAGATTCATGCACCAATTAACCACAGTCAAACCTGTCTATTAAGGCCACCCAAGGGGGAAAAATGTGGCCACTGAAGAAAGGTGGCCTTTCTACAACATACATTTCTCAAGGGAGACGAAATGCATGACCGCTATAGACAGAGGCCTTTATTGAAGGGGTGGCTACTATTAAGAGTAAGATCTGTTTGTCTGTACTTTTTTTTAAATGCGAAATAAAAGCTGAATAGTTCTTTTAATAACATTAAAAGGGTTTCCTTTCAACATCCAAATAAGTTCTCAAGTTCTCGCCCCGATTTACCTTCAGTGTGATAAGGAGATCAAATGGGAAGCCTTCAGGATCCTCTAGGCAATCTTGGAAGAAGAGTTGAGTTTGCGCCCTCTCGTGTTTGCGTAACCCTCCATCTAGGTAGGCCGCAAAGATCAGACCGTTGATACTACTTTCTATGAAAATAATAAACAGGAATGATAATCACTAGTACTTCATAGAAGATTTGTTCTTGTTTTGACACGTCCTCACTCTCGCGTCGCCCATCATCTCTCTTTTCTTTCTCCTTCGTCTTCTCTTTATATCCAGATGTTTACATATCATTTTCATGTGATTTTTTTCCATGATTTTATCCATCTTCACTCTTTTAGAAAAAAAGAAGAAAAATCTTCAAAATTTGAAAAAGACATTTCACATTTCTTCCCCATTAAATATTATTATGTATACATCTGTACCTGACACAAACACCGCAATCAAAACATAAAAAATTGTCCCCATGAACAATAAATGAGAGAACCAGCGTGAATATCAAGCTGACATTACCCCACACCAATCACCCCAAGAAAAGAGCAAGGTAATTAAACAACCGAAGCTGTGACATCATAAATAGATTTCCTATATAATATGAACTCAGTGTTATATTGCTCTGGCTCGTATTGTTATGAACCAGAGGAAATCTATTTATTCAGATGGTCATATCTCAGCTTATACTTAACCTATTCAATTGGTTTTCGACATTTGGACATTTTGTTTAATGTTCTTTCGGAAAATGAAGAACAAATCGAGAAATTCCAAAAATATATATTTGTTGATGACGTCACACTTCACCACAATATTCACCTGTCTTGTGCCCCTTGCTCGGCGGACAATCTGCGCGCCTCATGTCAAAGGTTACGTTTCCACCGGAGAGTGTCCGACTATAGGTGAGTGCATAGACCTGGTCTACGACTAGACCAGATTGGGTTAGATCCAGGAACCAACTGATAGACCCACTAGAGTGTCTGGGTTTCCGAGTTAAATAGGTCTGGAGTGGAGGATGGAAATGGTTGAACCTTTTAATAAAATACGGCAGACGACAATGATAGCTTATACAAAATAAATTCGATGATATTTTCATATAGTAGCGATGGAATGAAAATAATTCAGGAAAATATCCTTGCAAAAATAACATTTTGTAAGTTAAATATGTCATATAAATGTCGCCATGACGCTATATACTTACTACATTTTTTAAAATAATTTTGGTCATCAACGTGCCTCCCCCCCCCCCCCCCCCCCCAACGTAGCTACGCCATTACCCACTAATAACTTGTAAAACCTCGCTCATAAATTTGTTTTGAGCAGTTGCCATTTATTTCCACGTGAAAAAATTTAAAAAAACCGGGGATTATAAACCGCTTCATTTCTGAGCAAGCCTTTTATATCCTCTCACCCAGACCTCTTACCCATTCTCCTATTTGAGGCCCCTTGATGGCGTGGTAGCGTTGCATATTGACGACATTAAAAGCTCCTTCTTTCCACCCCTTCAAGGCGGGTTCTCTCTGGGCATATCGGTAGTAAGCATCTTCTCTAGCGCTGTACCGGAGATGGAAGAGCCTCGCTGTCCTCTCCTCCTTAGACAGCACGAAGATGTTGCCTGGAGTCTCGACCTGTTTACACAATCATGATGATTAATACGGCGATGATGATAATAATAGACCATACTTATAAAGCGCATATCATAAATATATATTCCTATGCGCTGTAATGGAGAGAATGAAAGAACAGCTAGGGCCCCATTTCACAAAACTTGTCATCAATGACAAAATAATGTAGGTTTTTGTTATAAGCTACGGAAATCCTTACTTCTGATTGGTTATCAGCAGATTTTGTCATTAAAAAAAAATAGCTTTGTGAATCGGGTCCCAGGACAAATGATGCTGAAGAAGAGGGTAGGGGGGGGGGGGGGGGTAGGGGCAGAACTATTAGGTCTTCATCATGTATAAGTTACAAGTAGCAACGGATTTCAGCTTGCATTTTTACATAAAGTGTGTGTCGTGATCTATATTTCCATTATTTAAACAAATGAGATGAAAAAAAACTAAATTTTACCACTATTTTAATGATATCCTTCTTTCTCTCTCTCGCTCTGTATCTCTCATTTTTCTATATTCTCTTGACGTCATCCCTGATATATTTGTTTTATTTCTTTACTCCCATCTCTCTCTCTCTCTCTCTCTCTCTCTCTCTTTCTCTCTACACCAGTGGATCTATATTACACGTGGCAATGTTTATGGAGGTAAATGATTTCATCATATACCTTACCTCTTATCATAATAAAACAGTGGAGTTCGGAATTATTTAATCGATAAATCTGCGTCCATATGCCCTCCCGTCTAGAAATGTTATAGGTCAATCTACATGTAGATTGGTATATTAGCGATGATTATATATCTGTATATTGCTCAGTAGTTGGTTTAACTGCATGTGTATAGTGCACTGCCGAGAAACAACAACGTATGCATTCAGCCTATCTGGGATAGTAGTCCATAAGCTTGTTTACAATTCCGTATTTTCAACACGTCCATTATATAACGTTTACGTAATTTTACTGTGGAAATCATTAAATTCTGGCAATATTATATTTTAAAGGTTTTGATTTTGTTTGCTAATGATTTAGTACATATTAATGATATAATTTGTTATATCAAACAGTTGTATATTCAAACGTAGATGTATATCAATGGCGACACAAGAAAGAATATCTATATAGGCATACTTATTTTGCACTCACGTCACGTGCATATAGGTACGAAACTGGACTTTTAGAGGTTCAATCGATTCCCACCATACCCCTACACTGAAAATATTACACCCTAGCACCCTCGCTTCTTCCAGGGTTTCAAATATTGCACCTCTGTAGGGTGCAGGAAGTAGGCCTACCAACTGAACCCTATCGTTTGCACCCAATGTGATGCTACCATTGTACCTTTTCATGCAGGGTGTGAATTTGAACCTTTGTTTCCTATATAGTGTATACACGCAGTATGACATCATCACTGCATTGTTGCCATAACAATGACGTTTCATGGATCCTAGCATTGAGGGATAATTGGTGCCATGGGGCGGAGCGGAGGGGGGGGGGGGGGGGGGGCGACTGGTCTTATTCGGTGAAGGAATTACGAAAACAAAGTAATCGAGAGCAGTAGGGTGTCGAAGTGAGTCCAGTAATTTCTCTTCTTTTGTTACGATGTCTTCCCTCTCACTTTCTTTCTCGCTTTCGATCTTTATTTGTTTGTGTATTGTTTTATTTACGGGGGAGGACACGTGCCCCGTTAGCTACGCCACTGATCACCATCACTACGTGGTCTCACCAGGTAACAAATACTTGACATGATCACTATTCGACGGGATAATATAGTTGGTAAACATCCAGCTGTACGGAATCTATACCCTACCGCACGTACCGTTGACATTGACAACAATTGTATTGATTTCTGAATGCAATCTCTTTCCCATCATCATGATAAATGTATTGAACGTATTGTATTTCTCAATTCGATGGGAATTAATTACATTTGCAATAAACTCGTAGGCCGACTCATTTATTTATATACTATTCATACTAATGATTTCACTCGAATATACAATCAAGGGCTCATTTTCTCGATCTGTTAATATCTTTCAAATTCAAAACAAAGTCAATTTAGTGTTTGGGGAAACTAATAAAAGCGAGACGGAGAGGGGATAAAATGTTTATTTTTAGAAGATTCTCTATACTTTTCAATCAATTGTGGTACCTGGGCAACGGAGTTTCGTTAATATATAATATGGCTTGGATTCTAAAGCTAAAAATCCTAAATCGATTTGGGTGGACTTATATAATAGTTAACACCCTGATAATCATTTCATTGCACTTTAAAGTTTCTCTTTATTATGTCAAATCATTTTGCTCTGAGACATTTCACTTTGCATAGGTTTATTATTTAATATTGTTTAATATTTTGAGAAGACGGGAAATCTGCAGATCATACATACCTCATCTGCCAATTCCTTTGGTAATCCTGAAAAAATGGAACAAAGAAAATAAAATGGATGCTTATGGTATACAAGAAAATAACACAAACGAGACACTGACTTTCAATAGGAGGCTATAAAAACTGTCAAAAGATGCTGGAAAAGAATATTACTTTAATTTGTGGAGGAAATATAATTAAGATATCATCTTCATCGGGCTTGGAGCATAACCATGACGATATACTTCCACCAAAGAGGAAAACTACGGTATCGCTTTATTATTTATGATAACGCTGAACAATTTATGAGTAAATATGTCAGGTAGGTCTACACAGTAAACTGTAGGGCAAGCACTGCTATGGCTCCACTAGAGCAATCAATTACTGAATAATTGACACTTGTAAATGGACCAGAAATGGTCAGGAAGTAGGACGTTTCAAGGACCAGGTATACAAATATGAATTCATTAAAATTAAATACCACTGCGTTCGTCACTTTCGTTACATAATTAGATAATTGAATGAAGCCATTATAGCGAAACGGATCGAGGAGATGATAGTACGTCCTTCACGCTGGATGAACTGAAAAAAAATCAGTCAGGGATATTTAATTGGTTTGCGTTACGCGTCGTTTTGCAATGAAAAATAACCTAATCTACTTTATAATGATGAACATTAATACTGTGTTCATGATGTAAATCGTTAAAAATAAATCTTGATATCTCTTTGTTTACATTAAAGTAGATATTCATTGATTTTAAAAACTAACTTTATTTTCATTATTGCAAAGTTGAAACTTTGATTCGACAAGGTTATCAAAATTCAGTGCTTGGAAACATTCGAAGTAAGGATTATTATAAATTAGAAAACGCTTAAATACAGCCCCGGCATAGCACCTGCAGAGCTCTCCGAACGCTGCTGAGATGTGTGAGATCACAGTATGTACATGATTTGCACAAGCAGACGATGTCCCATAACATCTCACACATTTTCAGTACCTGTGTTTTCATCTTTTCTTGAGTTCTTTTTCGTACTTCACTACCGCCAGGCTAAATGTATAATATATTGCCTCACTCTAAACCCCGCGCATGGTTTTATTTTGATGACAAATGCAGCGATACAAAAATAAAGGAATCTGTCGCTTGTAAACAAAATAAGACGCCATTGTATATTCAGCTGCACACACCGCGGTATGTTCGGCGTTTCAAGAGGGAACAAATGCCGTCCTTAATATCATTCTGGGGGTTTTCAATTTGAAAGTCTGGTTTCTTTAATTGTTAATTAACCCCTATCCTGTGTATTTACAAGCAAAATATTTTAGTTATCAGAATCGGGTCATATCCCATTTTGAATGGTTTGATATGCCATTACATTTATATTCACTAAACTCATTATAATTTGACAAATAATAGCTTTGCAATTATGTTCATTCTTAATGGGATGTCGTCTGCTTGGGCTGTGTTGGTCCATATAGTGACGTCATTAAAACATCGTTATTTTTCCGGCGAATCTCTCGTATATCCCAACTGCTATGAAGGTGGTTGTATTTGCATTTTTTATAAATCACCCAATATGTAGTTGACCTAAAACTTGTACGATGGTCATCTGTTCGCTTACCAGTTTCTAGTGATAAATTAGTTGACATATTTGTGATTTTCTTTGAATTTCACCTTTAAACAACACATTTGAATGAAATTGAACTTATTTGGATTTTAATCACAAATACTAAAAAATTACAATATTAACGGTATTTACTTTTGGCGGAATTTCACTACACGTCATTTTACAATGTATGTACATGTACCATTAATGGTATGCTCAATTGTGAAACTACATTGTATTTTGAAATTAAAATTAATTCGGTATATATTTAGAATTAAAAATAGAGAAAATGCACTTAAGATTTATATACTGTAAAAGATTTTGATTATATGTATTTTTATTTGCGACACTATAAAGTAAAACAATGATTAAGACAATATTATTTCAGGTTGCGAGGGCAGTTAATCTACAAACCCAAAAAAGAATAAAGATCATTTGAAATGAGCTTATATTCGTCGAAGTATATCAGCTGCATTAAATGTTTTGCATTTATTAATTTGTTTATTTATAACATTATGATTTATCTTTTGTGACGCATATTTTTTTATTTATTTCAAGGTACATATACTATCTTTGTTAACAAAACAAAACAAAATTAATTTCCATAAATAATGTTCGACAAGAATCAACAACTACAATACATTACTGGTTATACTAATTAGTCATATGAGTGATTTCAGCCCGCCCCTTTGTATAGATCTTAATAATGATATTATTGATCATATCGTAATATGATTCATTTGCTTCGGATAGAGCCAAAAACAAGGACAAATACTCTTAATATATACACAATAGCTAGATGACCATGAGTGTATAATGAAAGAATTGTGTTTGGCTAGCTAGGCCTATACAATTTCATCCCGCAATATCAGAGAATGAAATTATAATGGAGATTAGTTGATACTAAATGGAACATAATGCCATGGCAACGAATTTTGATGTTGGTGTACATGTAGGTGGCTGTGATGGTGATTGAGATGGTGGTAGTGAGGGTGATGATGATGATGGTGATAGTGGTGATCGTGGTGGTGGTGATTGAGATGGTGGTGATGATGATGATGGTGGTGGTAGTGGTGGTGGGGTCGTGGTGGTAGGGGGTTCGTAGTGGTGTTGGTGGTGATGTAGGGTGTTGGAGTCATAGGTGGTGGTTGTTGTAGATGTAGATGGAACGGTAATGATGTCAAGAATATGTCACAAGTAGAAGCAGACATTTAAGGCCAATCTGAAGATATATTATGATTGAATATATCTTTTTTATTGTGCTATTCATATAACACTATTTGCTTTCATTTCTACTCACAATCGTCTACAATAAACGGCTATAACAGCTTAAGTCATGGTGGCACCGTGGCAGAGGTGATAATTAATCGTGTGTCTTAATCATGAAAGTCTCAAGAGTAAAACGTTTACATGACCTTTCTATTAGTAGAACTGTTCTGCCTACTCTATGATGTTTACGTCTATAATTTATCTACTTTGAGAACATAATTATATTATCTTCCCTTCCATAAAGCGCATTAAAACGCAATTTAACCGCACGCACTTGACATGACGATTTATTCGGCAATATCACTTGAAGTTTGGGAGTCTTTCGCCGATGGTAGGCCAATAATCTACCATTAGAAAACAAATACTGTAAAATAATACTCACGTTTACTCCTCGTTGATATATCGGTATTTCCACTTAATTCATCCATGGCGATAAACTATTAAAATATATCCAGTGTCTAGTATTAAAAGCAACGTCCTGCGATACCATAATTGACAGTGCTACCGAAATGAAGACGGATTGGGAAATGATGTTTTGGTACGTTTTGCTGCGCGGCCAGCCAGGAAACCGTACACATAAGAGTTATCTACGCGGCTGCATGGCAGTTCTTTAAATAGTCATATCCTGCATGCGATGATAATGAATAACAAGATCGTTCATTGTTCTGGATAATCAAAAAGAGAAATCGATAAGGTACAATACATGCGATGCGTTGATTAAAAATCCCTGATAAGCAATGGCTATAAAGATGATGAATACCATTATATGATTCGACGGTATAATGCTTCGTTCTCGATTATTGTTCGTCATTGTTGCGATGGGGTGGCGAATAGTTCCCTTAGAAACAACATATATAGGGTATCATCCGGGAAACATGTCATCCTTATAACAAAAAGCATTACCTCGTGGGGGGTAAGAAATTGTTCGCGATAAACTAGTTTGAAATCAACAAAAAATTAATACGTCGTCTTGCATTGTGGTGGGCAATAAATAAAATCGTATACATGCATATACAATCATATCCGTATAGATATTGTCGACCGCGCTTATTATCTATTCGACCATATAAGATGAAGGCTCATAACATCATGGAAAGAGAGCTCCAGGGTGAAGGGGACACGTACCCAAAAGCTTATTAAGATTTAAACAAAAATTATGCATACGATACACGGTATAGGGACTGCAGCCCCGCCCCCGTTCAAATTAAGTTCCCTAATACCTGTAGCATTACATGACATGAGAGAGAAAGAAAGGAGAGAGAGAGAGAGAGAGAGAGAGAGAGAGAGAGAGAGAGAGAGAGAGAGAGAGAGAGAGAAAAAATACAGAGAGACAGAGACAGAGTTGGAGAGAGAGAGAGAGAGAGAGGGAGGATGAATTAGGATCCCAAGTTTAACAATTATGTTGCCGATAATAATTGCAAATAGAAAAAAAATTGTAACTGTAACGGGATCTTTTCTTTTGTATTATTTGTTTTATACCAATTCGAGGTCATCGCCCAAGTAACTAATGAGTACATATATAATTAAAAACCTAATTCGGTAATGGGTATAGAACACTGAATACACAAAAGCCTATTCTATGTTTTTCTCCTTGATGTCAGACCTTAGGCCAAGATATTACCCTTGATACTTTTTTGTCCTTTCGTGAATACTAAATTATTAATGCTATCGTGATACGGCAAATATATCACTTTCAATTCGCTCGAATTTGTCAGACTTTCAATCTATAGGCTACCAACCATTCTTCTGTAGATGTTGCAATAATCGATTTTCTCTCGCTCTAATTCCTCCCTTCTACCTCCCTCTCTTTACAAATATCTGTGTATCGTTATCTCTATTCCGCACTCTTCTTCTCTTCGCTCCTCCTTTTTAGTACTCTCTCTCTCTCTCTCTCTCTCTCTCTTTTCCTCCCTCATTCCCCTTTTTCTCTCTCTTTCCCCTCCCCCTCTCACTCCCTCGCCCTTTTCTCTCTTTCTCTTTTCCTCCCTCGCTCCCCCTTTTCTCTCTCTTTCCCCCTCCCCCTCTCACTCCCTCGCCCTTTTCTCTCTCTCTCTCTCTCTTTTCCTCCCTCGCTCCCCCTTTTCTCTCTCTGTCCCACACTCCCCTCTCACGCCCTCGCCTTTTTCTCCCTCGCTCCCCCTTTTCTCTCTCTTTCCCCCTCCCCCTCTCACTCCCTCGCCCTTTTCTCTCACTCTCTTTTCCCTCCCTCGCTCCCCCTTTTCTATCTCTTTCCCCCTCCCCCTCTCACTCCCTCGCTCCCCCTTTTCTATCTCTTTCCCCCTCCCCCTCTCACTCCCTCGCCCCTCCCTCGCTCCCCCTTTTCTATCTCTTTCCCCCTCCCCCTCTCACTCCCTCGCCCCTCCCTCGCTCCCCCTTTTCTCTCTCTTTCCCCCTCCCCCTCTCACTCCCTCGCCCCTCCCTCGCTCCCCCTTTTCTATCTCTTTCCCCTCCCCCTCTCACTCCCTCGCCCCTTTCTCTCTCTCTCTTTTCCTCCCTCTTCCCCCCTCCCCCTCTCACTCTTTTCTCTCTTTCGAAGTGCATTTACGAAGTACCCCAAAACAAAGATGGCTGCAATTAATATTCTACATTTTCGTCAAGATGGCATATTTTGGAAATGAAATAAAATATATACCTTGAAATTTGACATTTCCTTTCAGATATATTTTCACCTAGTCCATAAAAATAATTGGAGGTATTACACATAAAATGGAATTTTTTCTTTAATTAAAAAAAAAGAAATATTGGGGGGGGGGGGGGAGGGGTGGTAGGGGGTTTATTTTGGAAACAAAATAAAATATATACTTTGAAATTTGACATTTCCTTTCAGATATATTCACATAGTCCATATAGCTAGTTGGAGGCTTTAGACATAAGATTGAATTATTGCATGCAACATATTGAAAAGGCTATTCCTCATATTGTTGGGAATACAACAAGCAATTTTTTCTCTCTCTTTTTGGAGGAGTTTAGACATATAAAACTACACAAATGTTTGCATTGACATGATCCTTTAAATATTTCTTGTAACCATCTATTGAGAGCAAGAAAGGCATTTACTCATCTCATCTCACACAGTAATAATACCAGGCTTGCTCTCAACACACGATACCATGTTTTGTCTATGTTTATGTTGCATGCATTATCATGGAAAGCAATTTTATGTATTACATATGGCCAATAAATCTTCAGTGATGAATCTGATTTTAAAGACAGAATATTTTCATGTACACAATACAAAGTAGACAAAAACATCTTCAAATGTAATATCTATCATGATTTTAATCACATGACTTTAGTGTACCAATCACGATACACAAACGTAAATGGGAAGAAACTTTCTCACGTTTTGATACACATATACTGTACTCTTTGAAATATTACTTGTATAATAAACGCAGGCAATGTACATAAAACATAATTGGCCAAACTCTGAACCCAATGATTATGTGCAGTGGTCATGCTATTATCCAATTCTTTCTCGAAGTGTGCATTTATTTCAATATTTATAAAGCCGGTGTTTGAGAGAATACACCTAATAAGCTATATTCTTTATATATCATATTCAAATGACAACATTTCCAAATTATATGTGTAAATTGTGTGTGATTAGCAACATGTATTTATACTGAGTGAATGGATACCAAATTAACAAGTGCACTAACTAATTATCTTGCAATAGAATATGAAAGAAGAACTGACTAGTCTTGGGTCCTGTAACATTAAAAGCAACTTAAAATCAATCCTAAATGTATCTCCAATCTTGCTGAAATTAATCATATCTTACCATCCATAGTATCTATTTGTAACATAAAACAAACTGTTTGTTACTGATTATTCTAAATTGAATGATATGCATTTCATCTGAAGGAGATACAATTAATTTTAAGTTTTTATGTTACAGAGATCCACACGCTATAATAATTATGAATCTACAATGTATGAGAGTTTAACAACAAATTTTATTTAAGGAACGGTGTACATGAAACGGTTCTTGTAAAATTTGGTCAGATTTAATTTGTTGAGACTTTTTGAACATCTTTGGTTTTCAGAAAAAGAGAAGTTTTTTTCAGAAAAGAAAAGCTTTATAGGCTTTGAATGTGTGTTATGACAACTCCAAGTATAGATCAAATTGTTATTATTTTAACTTTCATGATGAAATTTTGCCCTGATAAACTCAAAACAAAGAATTGTCAGTTTTACAAATGAAAATTGTTTGGATTTAACAAACAACATTTCAGTATTTCAAATTCAACTTGTCTATATATCTTTAATAGATTTGAATGGTTTTAAAAGTTTGCTTTGTTTATGCTTTGGGATAAATATGTTAAAACAATATTATCAAAAGGCACAAACAAAAATACATTCCAAAGCACATTATTTTGTGTATGATTCCTAGAGATGTCCAACATATGCAATATTTCACATCCATTCTGAAATATTTTCATAAAATCAACTTCAATCTTTGTACATGAAAAAGAAGATCAAATATTCAAAAAGTTCAAAATGCAAGTTTTCAAAAATTCCCTCAAACATGAGCTCATGATAATTTCTAATTGATACTCTGTTTTCGAAAAGAAACAGATATGAGAATATACCAATATGTTCATGTTAACGACTGCACAAAACAACTCCTAATGTAACATTATTGATCAGAAAAGTTAACAACTGTTGAGCATTCAAAGACAAATGTATGAGAATAGTGCCAAAAAAAAATAAATCTTGTACCAAATATCCCAAACTTGCTCGTCTTTCGCTGAATAAGATTTCATGGTTCTTTAAATCAAATTTTAAATTTTTGATGGGATATGACAGTAACTCTGTTTACACATAAATACCATTCTCAGACCAGGCTCACACAGTACATGTATTTAGTTTGTACAGATCTCATGCAAAAAGAATTCCTGAGAAAACCGCTTCCCCCCAGAGAACATGAGTATCAGTGTACAATGTCATTTTTATAAATTCAAATTTACGGGTTGCTTTTGAATGTTTTCTTCTTCAAACTTTGAGATAAAACACTTTCAGAGGTTGATGCTAACTAGAAGGAAGTTTAACTCCATTAAACACACACAAAAAAGGTTTTTGCAACAAGTTGACACTTAATTTGGTGAATTAAATTGTATTGTAAAAATATGGATTTTAAGTAAAGAAGTATGAATAGCCATGTGTTAAACATTCTCAAAGAAATTTTATTTTCAATTTTAAAACAATGATTTCTTACTAAACCCTGATCGCTTTTACATGCCAGGTTTTCCCTGTCTGTTGTTCAATCCTAATTGGTACAACATTTAGCAGATCATTGGCAACTAAAATGCCAACTTCCAATATGGTGGGTCATTCTCAAAACCCTACTCTTTAAGAGCACTGTCGAGATGAAAAACTACTTTCAAAAGTTACTTATCACTATCGGTACAACAATGAAAATCTTATAATAAAATCTATCACAGTGATAAGATATTGACTATGGAAACCAAAATGTTCCTCTGTCATGATAAGGGAAACTAACTACCTTTTGGATAAAATAAAGACTACGCTCTTGGATGGTTTTAGCGCAGGACTGTCTCGTCAAATTCAAAGTTTGGTACATTCTGTGACGCAACCTTCCGTAGTCTCTTGAGGCAGTCGTTGAGATTGGAAGCCGGGACCGAGTCCAGGGATTTCAGCACATCCTGTCAGACATAAAGATAAACGTTATATACAAATATAAGGTTAATGCATGGAAAATATTTAATAAGAAATATCTTATAAAATGTACCGGTACTCTTTTTTGAAGGCCTTCTGTCCTAGTTTTGGCTAGGAGGGATTGGACCACCCAGGGTGGTCAGTGACAGGAGGCTATCTCATCAACTCAGCTCTCAATTAACATAAGAAAAAGAGGATCATAGGGGACCAATGGTCACCGATTAGGCATTGTTTTCTATATAGAGGGAGCAAGTAGCTACAAGTAGTACAGTGGAGCTTTAAAACACTTTAGGATCACAGACTGTTTTGATAATATCCTGGGTTTATATATGGCTTAATACATCAACAATATCTCTATTAAAGCGCTAAACATTTATATATTGTTACTCCAGTCATTGTATTCAGATTTGCCTGCACACACTGTATGTACATACTGGGAAAGTTTCAGCAAGGCACCATTTTACATACACTCACAATGCTAAGCAAACCACAATGACTTCCACATTACTTTTTAGCAGACTCTTTTAGTGCCATAACACAATCCAGTTACTACTGAGAATTGGCGCATTTTCTTCCAAGAATGCTCATTAAAGAGCCATTCAATTCACTGGTTACATACGATAGAATTTGTAACGATGACATCCATCTTGCATACATTAATTGTTGCAGTGTCAGGCATGCCTCTGGAAAGGGTCATCAAAGTAACTTCTATTAAAGAAGCATGTATAAATCTGAGTAAATTAGTTAACTGGTTTATACATTTTCAATGAAAGATGAAAGATATCGAGGGTTCAGTGACACAAAGATTTGTGTCATGTTTTGCCAAAATGAGTATTTGATATCAAAATGTTCAGAAAAATGTGGGCTTTCCAGAAAACACAAAGACTTAACTCCACCCAACACCCCATTGAAGTCAATTGCTAGTGAAATATAGACTTAACTCCTTAAGGCCCAAGTGCTCAGTGGCACATAAACCACTTTTTCTCAAAATGGCCAAAATGGAGTTACGTCTTTGTGTCACTGACCCCTCAATATTTTTTTCTCTACATCTTACCTGTAAAAATTCATCTCCATGTTTTAGCTTGAGCAGCGCCACCAACGCCCATTCACTGTCAGCCTGCACGGCCGTGTTCTTGTCCTTGGTGTTACTGACTAAGACTACTAGTATCCCTCTTACTATGGACATATCAAGAGGAGACTCAGTTGTCATGGCGCAGTGGTTGATCATCTGAGCGGCGGCCATCTTGATGTCACTGGATGAGTGGTTGAAGCACTGCAGGAATGAGGAGGAAGTGCAAGAAGTTATTGTATTATACAACCTGAAAATCAAAGACAAGATATCTTGAGTTCCAGGAACAATAAGATATATAGCCTACAGAATCCAAGTCAATAATTACCAAATACATGATTAGAATCTGCCGAATGATTAGAAAAGAAAATGTATAATTGCTGAGAAAAATGAGTGAAGGATTCCATAAAATGTCAGGACCATCTTCATCATATATAGCAGACATGAGAGATGTCAGATTCGTTCTCTTGTTGATGAGCAGTGCTTCACGTACAAATCCTTTCCTCCCACCCCTAGCTTCCCCTCCAAAAGCCAAAGCTTAGTTTCTGAGCACTTACCTTCACCGCAGCAGTGATTAGAGACAGTGGTACTTGTTTTCCTACTATGCAGTACTTCATGTAGAACTCCCTTCCCCCTCACTCTCTCCCCATCCCACGTATCCCTCCCCCTCCTAGCTCCTCCCCCCCCCCCCAAGCCAAAGGTTAGTTTCTGAACACCTACCTTCACCATAGCAGAGAGGAGAGACTGTGGTACTTGTTCTCCTGTCGCTATGCAGTGCTTCATGTAGAATCCCATACCACGAACGCCTGCCACACATACCGGTATCTGGAGGAGCGAGAGAAAGAAATTAGTCACTTTCTTCATACCTTAACCCGTCCTATCAATATTGCTATTCTGGCCGAGCCTTTACAAAAGATACACTTCTAATATGGTAGACTATGTTTCTTAACTTAAAAATTCTGTAATTTTCATCCAGAAAATGCACAGAAGGCCACATGTCTTTACAGACAACTCCAAATCTTTGAGTGACTTTCATGGGGTCTTCTGGCTGGGGTCATATAAAAAATGTGATCTCCCATAGCTTTATAATTCTTTTCTCATAGAGTGGTATAATAGTACATCATTTTTTTCAGTTTCAACTGAATTTGAAATAAATATCAAATAACATCGTTTCAAATGTATCACAAGATAACAGAGCTAAAGAAAGTTTATATCACAGCAGTCTGCAAAAGCTACCCTTCTGGTAAGCCAATTAGGAGCTCTCACTTTTTAAGCATTTAACTTCTAGAACAGTTCATTTACTATCTAAATGCCCCCCTCTGCCAAATTTGTCCGACATGACACCACACAGCATCTTACCCTGTCATTCAGCGAGTTCTTGATGATGACCTCCAGAACCTTTGTCGCTCGTCCCTCCACCGTCACCCTCTCTGGGGCATCTTTGAGTGTGACTGATAGAGCGAGGGCACAACTATGATGCAGCATCCAGTTCTGATTCGGCTCATTTACTGCTCAACAACAAAAAACAAACAAAATCAAAGCTTGATGATGACATACTTCAAAACACGTTTAAAGTGGTTGTCACTGGAAATTCGACACCATTCAGGTTTTTACCCAATAACAGGTGCTGCCATTCAAAAGGATGAGCATTCAGTTTTATGACAAGCAGGCCTTATATACATGTAATGCTCTGCCATTTTCCACAAATCACCCATATGGAAAAATTCTTTAACTTACATTTCCCTCAACAGAAGACTCTCAAAGAGACTAAGGGGGGGGGGGGGGGGGGGGGTCTTGATGAAACCACAGGTTTGCTGTTTGCACAACTTGTACACCCATCAATGGTATTTCCACCAAGTCTGGTGTCAGCGAATCATGACCTACTGTACATGGAAACTGCTCAATATACCCCTTTAATACATGTATATTTTTATCTTATGATGCTTTAGCAATGAATAAGAAGAACACTCACACATAAAACTGTCAATTTCAAGGAGTTCATAGAGCAGGGGTGATAGTGACCACTAAAAGAAAAAAAAAAATTCCCCTCCCATCAACCACCCCCCCCCCCCCCCCCCCCCCCCCCCAGGTAAAAAAAAGAAGAGGATTCAGGGGGAAAATGGCATCTAACAACATTCCCCCCTTTTGAGTAAGAAAATTGGGAACAAATAGGGAAGAATATGGAAGAATAAAGAAAAATCTGGAAATATCAGGATAAAATCGGGAAGAAAAAACTGGTAAACATGGGAATGTAGCACACGATGACAAACAACAAACAACTTCAAATATGGAGGCTAATATTAGATGTAAACATACCAAAGATGTACATAAATTGGTTTATGTTGAGAAACAACTGACCCAAAGTGAACATCTCATGTCATACATAAAACACTTACCAAGGAGTCTATTGTTTAGGATGTCCTCAAAATCTTCATCGCTCAAAAATTTACACAAGGCTCCCAAACATCCGGATGATGATATCCTGATATTACCCTGCAATATAAGATAATTGAATTGAATTGAATTGAAATGGGAATCCATATGGTAGCCCAAGGGCTGAATCGCATGGAGTGTACAAAGTAAAATCACAAAAACAAAATATATATCTTCCAAATCAATCCATATACCCAACTCCCACATCATGAATTTGTATGACAATATGTTTCAGCAATGTGCATATACTCATAAATCCATTATCGATATATTTCTTTCTACTTTTCAGTGAATTTCTGCATGTGTATGTGCTCCTTACCTCTGATGATGATAGGTTACTGATGAGAGTTGTTTGGAGAGCTTTCTTGTTAGCATCACCAATCTTAGTCCCGGCTCCAGCTATCGCCCCTTTCAAAGCTTGCAGCATGGTCTCTCTGGACAAAGTGAAATAATAATAATAATAATAACACTCAGTTTTTAGATAGCCCTTATTACAATCACTAAGCGCTTCTAAACTTAGAGATTATAGCCCCAGCTTTAGCTGTGCTGCCATTACGGCGCTCTAGCATTTCAAAGAATTAATTAATGCCAGGTACCGTTTACATCACCTGGGTTGAGTGTGGCAAATGTAGATCAATGTCTCACCAAGGGACATATAGAGGTAAAGGGAAATGCAATCGTAACAACATGCATCATTTCATCAGAAGCAAATTTTTAGTCCTAGGACTAGCTACAGGTGTATGGCATTTTTAAACTGAAGACTGCAACATGGTTTTTCTGTAAGAATCAAAGCTATTACCACTTTTAATATCGTGGATCAGATACAATTTTACAAAATTTTGGGATATTGCATTTATTTACCACAGGGAGTATCATAAAAAGGCCAAATTAGCTACCACAAGGAAACTCTAATATGAATAGTCTGGCACCTTTCCTATATGTTCTGTTTACACTACAGCTCAGTTCGAATGCTTGCGATATCACGACTACCCCCCTCTCCAGCTGGTTTTACATTCATGAATTTCATATTGAACACTGAAATAACTAGATGGTACTTCGACTTGCAGTCGAAAATGATGCCTCCGCCATAGCGCGATTTCACAAACCAAAACAGAGGCAATTTTCGATTCAAGTTTAATTGTAATCCATTAACAGGTTTTCAGAATAGCGTGATTACAAGCTATTTTTCATATACATGTATGACCCTTTTATCTTTGACCTCATGACCCTAAAATCTTATCAGTTCATTGGCTTTGCAAGATACATATAAATGTCTTGAGTTTGATGGTAATTCTGTATTTTTTTAGAAATAATGCGATCACAAGCGTTTTTGCATATATAATGACTCCCATGACCTTGGACCTCATAACCCCCAAATCTAATCAGTTCAGTTCATTGGCTCAGCAAGATACATACATGTCCTGCATTTAATGGTTATCTGTCCATCAGTCTAATGATGTGATCACCAGCTATTTATGCATATTTAATGAGCCCTTTGAACTCGTGGCCCCAAAATCTGATCAATTCATTGGCTCTTCAAAATACATACATGACCTAAGTTTGGCAGGAATCCATCAATCAGTTCTTAGGATAACGCGATCACGAGCTGTTTTTGCATACCTAATGAGCACTGTGACCTTTGACTTTGTGACCTTTGACCTTGTGACCTCAAAATCTAATCAATTCATCGGCCCTGCAAGATACATACATAACCTAAGTTTAGCAGGAATCCATCAATCGGTTCTTGGGATAACGCGATCACAAGCTATTTTTGCATACCTAATGAGCACTGTGACCTCTGACCTTTGACCTCGTTACCCCAAAATCTAATCAATTCATTGACTCTGCAAGATACATACATGAACTAAGTTTGGCAAGAATCCATCAATCGGTTCTCGAGACAACCTGAAAACTTCGTAACTGAGGCATAAAAATACCCAACCCCTCTAGAATCTGGTTGTAGTAAAAATGTACAATTTGCAGTGCGTGGGCTCTTAACTGCCTACAGCACTAAAGGGTTAAGGAATAGGAAATTTGCTGTACCTGACTCCTGTGTCATTGTCTGTGTTCTTGATGCCGTTATGAAGCTCAGTGAAGAGAGGATCCACCTTGGCATGTATGACGACCAGCTTCCCTAAAGCTGCAGCAGCCTCTAATCTGACCGCTCTGTTAGCATCGGTCAAACCTCGGATGAAGGTGGTCTGGAGCTGAGGCAGGAACGCTTTCAGGAGCACACCAACCTGTAATGTAAAAGATCAACATCTTGTTAGCTTGGTGACTATTACATTGTTCAATTCCCATACTCTCCATACAGGAACCACCCAGTGGTCCAACAACCCTGTTTAGTTTCTGTCAAGCCTTGGATGAAAGTTGTCTGAAGCTGAGGTAAGACTGCTTTCTGGAGAACACCAACTTAGATATTACAGCCCGTCTGCACTAGTTTGGCCAGGGGGATTAGACCTCCCTTCAAGGTCACTGACAGGTGGTTATGTCATCAAATCAGCTCTCAATTAACGTAAGAAAAAGGGGATCATATATAAGCTGTAAGTAGTGCAGTGGGGCTTTAAAAATAAAGGCAACCTACTTAGCGTCACTTCAAAATCCTTGCAGGAAAAACCAGGAATGATTTGCCTGTGATACATAAAGAGTTTGAGAGGGAATCTCCCTCGACTTACCTTAGCAATGAGCAACCCTAGGGTCTGTAGGATAGCCACCTTAACATTCCAAGCGAATCGGTCACCTAGGACGCGGATCAGAGGTCCAGTGATGGCTACCACCTGAGGCTTGAGAGCAGCGATACTGGTCCTTTGAACGACCTCACCCAATGCCAGGGCGGCTAGCTCTTTGACCTCTGGTGACCCTGACAGGATGCCCTCTCGGAAGTAGGGAAGGATCGGTGTGATGCCCTGGAGTTGGAAACAGATTAAATGGTGAATGGTAAACACAAATGAACGTTACTTTTGAAATAGTCCACATACATGTATAAGGCTTAAACAACAAAAAAGAGTCTAAAGTGAAATATTAGTCTGCAGGATCAAGTATTTTGCATCAAAAATTCTAGGGCACGTTATGTTAACTATGTATAATACCTTAATTGTTTTGATTTGGTTTTTGGGTTAGCCTTCACTGATAGAATTGCTCTATTTGTAATGAATTATTGAATGCAAATGAACTGAATTACTAACTATGACCCTCTATCAATCACTTGTTATCAATCAATAGATGGAGACACACAATCAATACCATATTCACAGGGCAAACAGGTTGATCGTACAAAGTGTATACTCTTGGGAGACAATCAATGCTCTTACACTCATAGACTATACAGTACTTCTCTCTTTTTTATCCATACAATCCAGTCTGAACACAAATTATTTTTCCCGTTCCTTACCTTTTTAGGCAGACAGAACCCTGGTAGGTCCTCTTGCTTACAATCCTCTGTAGCATAACGGACGGCTCGGCGTACTGATTCAATGTGACCCATCTGCTCTGCAGCACTTAGGCTCTACAACGTGTAAACAAAAGTCAAAATAAAGATGATAACTTTAAAAAACATCTTTTCGCAAAGATTATTCATGGTGACCTAAAACTTGTCTGTATTCAGTTTGTCAGATATGTACAAATTATTGGCAAATCTAGAAATATGATCAAGGATTAACAAAAACCTGAAAATCTTTCATGTCCAAGTTGTGAGTAATAAATCTGTGGTACTCCAACAGATGAAATGACAAGATTAGCTTTGTAACTACCTATTATACATTAATCAAATTATAAAACCCAACATATCAGTATTCAACTGCTACTTCAAAGGGGATCACACCAATGTTAAAAATTTCTTTTGTTTTGTCAAAACAACTCCTAGTTGCTATCAAGACAAGCTTTCCTCCATTATTAAAGGCATTGTTTAACAACGTTAAATCTGAGATGCATGGCCCTACGTGTTATCAGTGTCTGTGATAGGTGTAATATTGAAGCCCTAACAAAAATTACACTTCAAAATGATCATGAAGTGCCTCAAAAAAGTAAAAAATCTTTGAGTGACCGGTTTTACCATCCTCGTTTTCCCCAGTAGACTGTAGTGTAATAAAAACTGTTAGGAAAACGTACAATTTGATTTCGATTTACAAACATAAATATCTTGATAATCAGACAGGCGATTGACTTGTAAAAAGTCATGGGATTCCCGATTGACCTAAAGGTTCATAATCATGATTGCAGCATGAGCTAAATCCAGGATTTTGTTTCAGAATCCGAGGCAATGTTTCCGAGTCACTTTAAAGAACTGACCTTTGTAACAGCATTGAGCGCTTCCCAGCTCATCTCCAACACCCTAGGCTCAGGATCGTTGAACGACTGGATGAGCGCCCTCTGGAGTTGAGGTACGTAATCTGAGTAGCTGCAGCTGGTCTTGCTACAGTAGACCTGGAGCAGGGTGGACGCAGCCAGACGTAGTCCTGCGTTCTCTCCCTTGAGCTTCTGGAGGAGTTCGTCTATGATGATCTGCTGACCCGGAAGGTCTTGGACTGACATCACTACCCTCTGGCAATGCTTGAGAGCCTGGCAGGAACAGGATAAAAAATACAAACATATTAAATGAATTTATCTATCAAATAATCACTAAATGAAGGACTATCTTTTCAACTGAAATGACTAGATGATTGACTAACTTGACGCATAAGCATAAGCAGCTAAAAGGCAAGTTGTTAGATTAGGTTAATTCAATCATGAAGGAGGATTCTAGGACGACTCCCCTTTGAACTACTCACCCCCCCCCCCCCCATCAGGATAATTACCATCAGTAAATATATCACTAGGGGGGGGGGGTTAATATTTACAAGGGAGTTAATTTTCAATCATGAAGGAGTATTCTAGGTCAACTACCCCCTGAACTACTCACATTCCCCTCCTCCTCTGGACAATTACTCTAATTCAAATATCACTTGGGGGGGGGGGGGTTAATATTTACAAGGGGGTAAAATTGTAAAGGGGTGTTTTCTGAGCGTTGTTTTAAATAAGTGTCCGATATGAGTCTGGAGGGTGTAGTCCAGTGAGGAATTTACTCATACACAATGGAAACAAATCATGCCCATTCTTGAAAGCAAATTTCCTTACCTCTTGTTCTCTCTCTGTGCCTACACACTCCTCTACAGCAGACATGAGAGCATTGAGAATCTTGGCTAAGTGCTTGGTCAGGGAATCCCCTGCAACCTCAGACAGGATGGCTAGGACACCGGTGTTCACTGGTGGTGCAATCAGCTGTCATGGAACAAATGAGGGAAGACATTCAGTAACTAATGAAAGCTAAGAAAATAAGTAATTACACCAACAATCACAATAAACAGAAGAAGAAAAAAACCTTGCAAAAAACAATGTCTAGCTAGGCATTAGAAACATACAAACATGCAAAAAGATCCCATTGTTTAATGTACTAAGGTTATTGGTATGCTGGAAGCCAAAAGGGGGTTACCCTATATGAAGTTGCATAGAGTTAATGCCCTTCTGGCTCTCAATAAATGTATTGAGCTTTTTATGAGGAATGATAGCACAACTCTGCTCTTGACTGCCACGGGATGAGAAAATTTAACACAGTACTCGTGTCGTAGTGCGTAAAGAATATAAGTAAATTGAACTTCGAAGTTGGGAGTACTATTTTGGAGTTTTGAATTTTGGATTTCTTTTTGAGGTACTGGTTATAACTATGGGCCTCGGTGACTCCAGTAGTTATTTTGGCTTTAGGGATGCGCCCCTCAGCAGATAGTACAATTGGAGTTACCTCTTGTCCATAGTTTCAACCAGAACCTCTCAAGACGTTGTATATTTGTATACTAGTTTGCATAGAGATAAGGCCCTTCTTGCTCTAAAACACACATTGAATTTACTTTTGGTATGAGGAATGGTAGCACAACTCTGTTCTTGACGGCCATGACTTGTTTGAGTCCATCTAGAGCGTATGTTCCTTTCTCCTCGTCACTCAGCTGAGATAGAAGCTCTGGTAAGATCTCTTCCAGCGCCTTGTGACCTATGACACATGTCAGAGGTCAAGTAGGAGTAATGTCAATCAAATTTCACAAGGTTTATTTTACTGAACCAAATGAGATCACATGAAAATGAATTGCATGATCTTCCTAAGGTTATAAAAACAGATGTAAAGAAAATTATGTCTTGATAGAAGATAATGAAATGCAGTTTGCTATTTGCTTTGTACACATACAATGATTGATTGATTGATTGATTGATTGATTCCATTTTTATTCCATTTCATTTATCAATTTCAATTGTTTGCACCAATAAGGACATAGTTGACAAAGTAAGTTCAAAATTATGAAATGAAACAGGAACCTACTGTAAGGCCAAAAATTTGTTTTAAAATAAATAAATCAGTTTTTCGGCCTGACACTAGACCATAAAAGCATTTCACACTGTAACATTACATCTACTTTTCAGGGTCTGAAGTAAAAGGGCGACTTGAAGAAGAAATGGTTCGGTGTGTTGGCGTTTTTTGGGCGTTCAACAATAAGGGGATAGAGCAACGTCGATCTGGCGCTGCTCAGTGGCTGCCGGGCTCACGATCAATTGGGTAAAAGAATTTCAATTTTCGGTTTAATAAAATTTGGAGTGGACTAAAAAGATTATTATTAATAAAAGTGGCATAATGTGAAATGCAGTGGTTGAATGTGCCAGCAAAATTTGTCCACAGCGGGCCTTCCCTATTTTTATTTTACAGACAAATAAGTAGACTTATCGACCTTGATGACATCAGCTACATTTTGTCATCTAAATTTGCCATTCAGTTACACAGAAAATACTTTTTGCTTTGCAGTGGAATTTCTGAATCAGTTTAATTAATGTTCTTACCGATTGAACTATGAAGGCTGTCAAAGGTCCTTGCAGCTGCCTCTCTGACCTCTTGGAGAGGGTCAACCAAAGCTCTCTTCACTGTAGTTACTAGACTCTCGACATATGTCACAACCTGGTGGGCAAGAAAGCAAGAATCCATTTGGTTTTATGATGGCATGTAATGATAACAAGTTTAGCAGTAATCCATCAATCGGTTCTTGAGATAAAGCGATCACGAGAACGGGATATACAGACGGACAGAAAGACAACCAGAAAACATAATTCCTCCAGCTACTTTGTAGCCGAGGCATAAAAATACAATGTATTTAAAATGCTCAAACTATCAAGGGAATACATCATCTATCATGTCAAATTATTGTTGACTGATTGACCAATTCTACATGCATGGCATGGAAACTGAAAAAGCTTGGGCATCAAAATACAGGAGAGAAGAACTGCCTGCCTGGTGTATATTGTAACCAGTATTGTAGTAGCTCCCATGGTCTATTAATATGTCTACACATATCCTTCAATCGGGTTTGACCCGATAGACTGCCATCAGCCAAAAGGGTATCAACTCATACAATTTGGCACAAAGTAAATTAAAATCAATTCTTTTAGATTGTGATTCTCATTTGCAATGATCCTTTCTCAGTAGATAAAATGATAAAAAGAATGAGATATAAGGAAAGACAAACAAACCTGTTCTCTGCTTGTAGAGTTGATGATTTCACTCAGACCGATGCAGACTCCTTGTCTCTGGTCACTCTGTGCAGAGTCCAAGCCCTTCTCTAGGACCGGGATCATCTCTGGTAAGACACGGTCACCTAGCTTGCGGACAAGATCACCCAACGTTCTTGCTGCGACCTGTCAGGAGAGAAACACGAATCATACATGTAACCATCTTCTTCTTCTTCTTCTGTGGTGACCAGACCAACTACCATCAGACAGATTGGTGTGTTATTTGGGGTGTTTTATTTCTATTATGTCTTTGGCTGCCCGAAAGAAGGCTGTTACTGTCATTGACAACATATAGGTTTTACGTCCTTAGGGTTGGGTAAAGGTTAGGGTAAGTGTTGCAAAGTGGATGTTAGGCTAGGTTGAGGGTTATGATTAGGGTAAGTTAGAGTGTTTGGTCCCGGTTTGAAGTTCAGAATTGGGTTAATGTATTGCACAAACCTATTAGAATCCCTTCAAAGCACTAATATCCTTTGGCAAGATATTAACCTACACTTGCCACTCTCCACAAGGTGTTAAATGGGTATCCGGTAGGATGCGACCGTCATTGTTGGTCAAACAGTTTTTAAGCATCAAGTAACACCCGGCTGGAATGCGCCCCAGGGAGTGGAGATTGTGCACACAGTGTGTGCAGGAAAGTATTGAATCCAATGACCGGGGTAATAGTATATCTGTGAAGCGCTTTATAAAAGCGGATTATTATTATTAGGTCAATGCTATTCAAAAAGAAGAAGAAGCACATGCACCACTGACCTGTCTCTTGTCATAGCTGGTGCTGGCCAGACACCCTAGGAGTAGAGTGAAGAGGGTGGACAGGATGTCTTTGAGGGTTCTTGGAGTGTTGACAACCACCACCTTCCACACGTGAAGCGCTGCTTGGCGAACCATGAGGGCAGTGTCTGATCGTCCCATGTAGAGACCGGCAAAGACACGGTTCCTTCTCTCCGCTCCAAGGATGGTGATGATTGCCTGAGGGAAGGAAAACACCACAAGATGCACTATCAATAAGCCATTTCATAAATACTATCTGCTTATGGTCAAATAAAGGTCATTTCTGATAAAATTGTAAAACCCACCAACAGGAATCATGCTCATGTTATGTAATCATTATTCATGTGTGCACCTACAGTACATTCTTATGATACAAGAGGGTAAACAAGCTTTTCATCATGCACATACATGACTTTGGCATTGATTGTTCTAAAATACACAAAGTGGGACTTCTCCATGAGTAAATGATCTGTGGATATTTGGGGTCATTTGACCCATGTGCTAACTACGAAATGGTCTATTCCAGGAGATTCAATTCTTGATATATTTACATGGATTTTTAAGTGTGTACATATTGTATTACAAAATAACCAGTTATGCTAAAATCATGGAATTTTAAAAAATGCCACTGCACATCCTAGTATGGAACCTGTATACAATGACTATAACTAGCTATGTCTTCATGGGGCTGCAGAAATGGTCATAATCATGTGGATTTTTAAAAAAATGTCACAAAGGCAGAACTTCAGAACCTAAATGCAAGGGATCAATTCCTCTAGGCGGCCACATCTAAAGGGAACCTTTCAATTGGTACATCTAAATCACTCAAAAGTTGGAGTCCATTTTCAGACCAATCTCAAATCTAAAGCATATTTTCTTTTCTATCATAAAACTATTCATGTAGCCAGCTTGAAGAGAAAACCCCAAGTCATCCCATCACAAACATATTTTCAAAAACCTGACACTAACCTTAGTGGAATGTTCAGTTCCAAAGTTATCATCGTCATCCCCGACGGTGGTCATCTTGCCGGTGACCCCTGAGATCCTGTAGAGGAGATCACCCAGGAGCTGAACGGAGCTGTATCTGATCCTCCAGTTATCATCAAACAGACCCTTCTCAAGCTCGGGGAGGAAGACATTGACCGCGGTCTCAGCGTAGAGGTTGATGATCCGCTGACCAGCACGCAGGGCAGTGTCTCGCACATACTCACTCTCATCAGCTAAACCCTGCATGGTGCAAATGACAGAAAACCTCAATGTTAACAATTTAAGTATATACATAATTATATTATTTACATTGTAAGAAAGCTCCAAGGAATTTATGGCTTGAAGTTCTTTATTTTATTTTATTTATTTTTTTACATTTACGTACGTTTTTTTACATTTTTATTTACATTGTAAGAAAGCTTCAAGGAATTTATGGCTTGAAGTTCTTTCCAGAGTACTAGAAAATTGAGAATAACTGCTTCCCACCCAAGGGCAAACTAGCACTGCCACAAACTTTGAACGAAACTGTTTTTAACCTCTTAAAAGACAATTGCTTTATCCACAGGTTTATGAGAAAGAGAAGCAGAAAGAACAAAAGAAGATCGTGAAGAAGTAGCAATAATAGAATGAAAAGTTCACTTTACTAATAATAGCAATGGTCCTTTGCTCATGCAGGGCGTTCGCTGTGGAATGCTCTCCCTGGAGAGATTCATAATAGCAGATCAGTTGAAGTGTTTAAAGATAAACTTAAAACCTGTTTGTTTAATTTGGAATATAATCAACTGTTCTGTATTTTTTGTATGTTCTACATGTATCTTACTTATGTTCCTCTATGGTTTCATGTGATCTCTATTTTTTTCTTCTTCACAAGTGCACCCCTGGAGCATTTGATTTCGAGTGGATTTGGTGCCTTATAAATCTCATATATTATTATTATTGTATATTATTATAACCATGTGGCATGATCTTGTAGAGTTAAATGTACATTCTACTTTACAAAACCATTCCACTTATCAAAACTTCTAACATCTTTTTACCCCTACTGCGTGTTTACTTACTAGAATACTAGCAGCAGACTTACCACGAGGAGAGGAGAAATGCAAGGTCCAACGAAAGGAGCAAACTTATCTCCAAACGTTCCGGGAAGATAGATGAACATCATGATGTACCCATCCCTGACGTGTGATGCTATGTCAGGAGTTTCAGCAGTCTTGACGAGATCAGGCATGAACTTCTCCAGCTTCTGGAGACCCATTCCAGCTATCACTTCACTCAGACCTGAAAAGAGATTGGAACAAGGAAACTAGTAAAATACATGTACATGTGCTCTGAATTGGGAGTCCATTGTAGTTTTCAAACTTCATCTAGGTACCTGCTCATACAAGAGAGAGAGGTTGTGAGATCATAGACAACCTGATTATGTGATCACAAGTAAAGGAAGTTTGTCTATCTTGGATTCAACTACTAGTATTATTTTTTTTTAATTTCAAATTCTTTAATCTCTACCTTTGTTTCTCACTTCATCAGATGTGTATAAATAATTTGAATGTTTTATTTTAATGCTTTCAATAAATTCAACAGGATTCTTGAAGGCTGTACCCTCTTCTTTTGCCTTCCTTGTTCTCTCCCCCTCCGTTATCATTCTCCCCTTTCTTCTCATTTTCCTCTCACTCGCATCCTCTATTCCCTGTGACTCCCTTGTGCTCTACACCCTCTCCTCCATTCTCCCTCCCCTCCTCCTTCATCCAAACCTTATCCTTGCTGATCCTCACCGATCCACAGAGTTCTGCTCTGATGGGAGTTGCTTGATCAACCAAGGCAGTAGGTCATCAAAACTGTTTCCCGCCCCTCCCCTTGTCGCACTCCTCCTCCTCCTCCTACTCCCCCTCCTCCCCCTCCTCCTCCTCCTCTTCCTCTTCCTCCTCCTTCTCCTCCTCCTCTCCCTTCATCAAATTCTTACCCTGAGCGGCTCCTGAGCGATCTACAGAGTTCTGCTCCGATGTGAGTTTCTCCATCAGCCACGGCAGCAGGTCATCAAAGCTGCTCTCTCCCATGCCTTTGACCATGGCCCCCAGAGCTCTGGCCGACACCTTTCTCACATCAGGTACAGGATCCAGCAGAGACGACTTCAACCCTGGCATCACTGAGGGCAGGTAGGGTGCAAGGTCCTGCAACATACAAATCATGCACTCTCCTTGTGAAAAGATTCTTTCTAAATAACCAGTGGGACTAACAAGACAAATATTGAAATTAGAGAATTCTGATGGGCATCTACAATCACATGAAGCATGGTTTCAAAATGTATCGTCTATGAATGATTCTGTGATCTTGCAACAACTACATGTACTCTATGATGAATTACCTATATTAACCAAATTCCAAACCTTAACCCTGCACCAAACAATTAAAATAATCATTTGCAGACAAATGGTAGAATTGCAGATTTTGTTTACAATCACAATAGATAAAATGGATACATAAATTGATAATAATAAACTAAAATCATCGAAAATCCAACATTTTTATACTAAAAATTATTGAATATAGCTAATGCCTAGAACTATTACTAATGACAATGAACTTCACAACCCACCTTCTGGTCAGTAAGGGAGTACATGTTTCCAATGATCTGACAGGCCATCTTCTTGGTCTCCGTCGACCTGTCCTGGAATGACCTTTGAACTACTGGCATGATGAGAGCAAGCGAAGGCGCATCGATGAAGTGAACAAACTTGGTATCTAGTAGGATCTTGAGACAGCTAGCAGTTTGCTGGGAGGGGTTGGACAGTGCCTCAAGAAGCCTGGGTACAATGGCTGTCACACAAAGAATAGAAGATTTATGATACAACGATGATGGCACAAAACTTCAATGTGTATAACCATATTTACAACAGATGCATTTATAGTATACTGTGCTCAATTACAAAATATATCATAGCTTTCCATATTTATAGTTTTTCAAGTCGATTAAAAATAAAAACTATTTTGTTGGAGTTGGGCCCTTCTTCCTCTCGTGTATATAATCTTTTTATCTTTTTTATTTAAAGTAGTTCAGGGACCTGTTTCACAAAGCATTTTTTCAATGACAAATGACAAAAATCAGTGACAAGTCTGCTGATAACCAATCAGGAGCAAGGATTTCACTAGCTTATAACAAAAACTGTCATTTGTCACTGATCACAAGTTTTGTGAACTGTCATATGGTTCATTCTTTCAATCCTTAAAGGTTACTTACTGTGATCTCCATTAAACCCTCAGATTCCAGTAACATATCAAGGTCACAAGAGTACAGTTACTCACTAAACTGAGAATATACAATCGATGAACAGGCTTACACCAACAACATTGTGTATTTAAGTAAAGTAAAGTAAGCATAATAGAAGACAGTAACTACTCACCTTGAATTTCTGGATTGCGGATGACGTTGCCAATTTGCTTGAGTGCCTGAGCCCCAGCCTTCTGGACCTTGGCGTGAGAGTCGGTCAAGACCTCAGTGAGTTTGGGTACGATGCTCGGTAGGCAGGAGGAGAGCTGCTTAGGGGCGCAGTATGCCATGTTACCAAGTAACTCAACAGATCCTAACAAAGGAAACAGAAATTAGTAAAAGCAGGAGAAGAAATCTAATTATTTCATGTCCATCTTATGATGAGAAATTCCCAACAGTATGTGTTTCCCCATTTTCAAACGCAGAAACCACAGCTCATATTTAAGCTATTTTTCTTTTTTAACCCATGAATGAGATAAGGTTCCTTTTCCTCTTGTATAGTCGACTTGGTGCCTTCAGTCTGATTGAGAGGCAGATAGTGATCTTTTGGCAATTTCCTGGGGGGGGGGGGGGTGTTTCACAAAGACTAAGATCGACTTTAAGTTGTAATTTAGGTTGCCGCTATTTGATCTCACCATTATGATCTTTTAAGAATATTTTTTCCTGTAATGAATTATCAAAAAAAGTAAATTCTGTAGATTTGAGAGACCAATGCCAGTAGATGGTGAGAGCAAACAGTAGCATGAACGGCCTGCCATAGTTAAGCCCAACTTAAAGTCGATCTTAGTCTTTGTGAAACACCCCCCAGGCCTGTTTGGGAAGAAACAAAATATTACTGACCTTCTATGGCTCTAAGGACTCTGGTTGCTATTTACCTAAAAGATTTGATGACTTATCAGAGGAGCGATGGCGCAATGGTAGAGCAGTGGTCTCATTACCGGGAGGTTTCAGGTTTCAAAACCAAGTCGATGCGCTAGTGCCCTTTGGTATGGCATTAATCCTCATTACTAAGTCCCTCTGAGAGGACTTAAAGCCGTCAGCCCCCTGGTTGCTTACTTACAAGATACATGTGCTTTCTTAGCATATGGTAAAACAATCATCAACAAATATCAAACTTATGATCATTGCACTGTTAAATGCTATGTAGCTTGGCAAATACTGGTTAACGCATCTACGTCTTCTTTTGGACAACTGCACGTCAGCGACTTTATCTCTACATGGACAGCGATCGTGGAACAGACCGAAGTTCTCCTCACGCTTCGGTTTCCATATGCTGCATGCATGTGAATGCTGCGGTCGCGTCGTCCATAGTCGTATTAATCCTGATTGGCCCCGAGTCAGGCCACGGGAAAGACACGTAGTCTCGTAAGTCTACACTCCTTTAATCCTTCACTCACCTGCTTTAGTTCTCCATGAGTCTTCTTCCAATGCAGCTAGAAGTGAAGGTAAGACTAGTTTCACACCGTGTCCACTCAGTTTACTCATCACAGCTCGAGATGTATCATCAGTAGCCTGAAAGCAACAATAGTAAAGTCACATTAAGGTCAAAGCTAACCAAGTTCATTATGGTCGATCACTCTACGTTCTCTAAAAACATATCTTTAACTGATGACAAGGTGCTGCAATCATTCTTGTCTGTGGCAAACTAAATGAGTTTCTTCATGCTTGCTCCATAACCAAGTTACAAGACATGTTTTACAAGTAAAAATTCTAAGGTTGTTTCTACTTATATGGTTCACTTTCAAGGTTCACTTTCAGTTAAAATATTTGTCCATTGGATCATCAGTCATGTTTCATCAATTCTTATTGAATATCAGAAAAAGCTCTTCTTGGACCAAACCAAAAGGTGGACATTTACAAACTGAAGGTACCAAATAAGTTAAGCTTTGACTATGCGAGGTACTTGATATGTTCCTCTTTGATGTTTAAAGGTAAAGACCAGTATTGGAAACGCCCCAATTTCAAAAAATGAAATGGAAGCTCTCATTACCAATCATGTGAAAGAATATGTTTTGACTAATACATGATGATAAAAATTTTGCAGGGAAACTGCCTACTAATTGATATATTTGGTAAATTAGTTTATCTATTGGGATGTGAGAGATAAACGTACGTGTCGCGCACATGTGCGTAGTCCCATATACATCTTTCTGTGTACAGTGCTTGTAACTTTTCGAAGACTGGGCCAAATTTCTTATCCTTTTGATGATTCCAGAACCTTGCAGTACACACCAATACTTATATGCTAGATGATCAACCTTTTTTGATCGATTCCACAACGTTTCTTTCACAATGCAATCGCATGACCATAACTGGTCTTTATCCTTAACTTTTCTTCTACAATAGGGGGGGGGGGGAAGAGAAATGCTACTTACATCCCTGACATACTGGTTACTATCCCCAAAGCAGAGGAGTAGATGAGGGATGACATGTACAACGTATGGCTCAAACAGACGACCAAGCATGCTACACAGCATCTCAAAGGCAAATAAGGCTCCTGAAGTAGGAAAATAAAGAAGACGTGAGAACAATCATAAAGCAAACTAATGACAAAGGCTTCTTCTACAGGACAGACCTAATGAAAAGACCGTATTCAGAAACCTACCCCCTGGACATCCACCCCCAGTCAACTACCCCTAGGAGAACTACCTCCTAGGGCAACCACCCTCTAGGACAGGCCTTCTCAACTGGCGGCGCGTGCGCCACTTGTGGTGCTTGCGGTCAGTCGGAGTGGCACACGACTGTTGCAACAACAAAACAAAAGAAAGAAAGAAAGAAAATATATATTTTAGAATTAAATACTCAGCTAAATCAAGAAGTTGCAGTCGAATTTGAGCCCAAAATGCCTGCTTAACAAACAAGAAGAAAGGGGAATTTATCGTGTTTTACCATTTTATACGAATCCAAACCTAAGGTCTGAACAACAATTAGCTTACGATGGGATACCAATTTTAACATTGCCAATCTCTGGAAACATCTTGTTTTTGTTTGTTTGATTTTCACTTTATTTTGACATTTCCTGTGTTATTGCACACAAAAAACTACATATAAATATACCTCCAGTGTAATTGTCCCCAGGAATCGTACTATTTTGTTCACATCAATATGAAATTATGATTGATTATATTGTGGAATGAAATGGTGTTAAAAATGCCCCATTTTGGCCTTTAGAAAGCGCTAAATCCACCAGCTTCAGGGGGCTCTGCCCCCTACTACCCCCCGTTAGGGCTTCGCCACTGAGCCCCACCCATTTTTCGGCTCTGTCGCTACGCTCCCTACGTAGCACAGTCAACCGTACAGGGTGGCACTTCAACTACAAATTCTTTTCGTTTTGGCACTTCTAATAAACTAGTTGAGAAGGCCTGCTCTAGGACAACTACCCCCTCCCCCATACGACAACCATCCTCAAGGACAACAACCCCGCGAACAACTATCCTAGGGGGGGGAATTGTCCGGGGGGTAGTTGTCCTGGGTGGTAGTCGCCCTAATAGGGTGGTTGTCCTAGGGGGTAGTTGACTGGGGGTAGTTGACTGGGGGTAGTTGACTGGGGGTAGTTGACTGGGGGTAGTTGACTGGGGGTAGTTGACTGGGGGTAGTTGACTGGGGGTAGTTGACTGGGGGTAGTTATCCGGGGGTGGATGTCCAGGGCTAGGCGTCCTAGAACCTCAAAAGACATATGAGGCTGAACCCTTGTCTTTATTGCAGCACAGGATACTATTAACATACCGATACATACAACTTACTACATACGTGTACATTACAGTGACGCTCCATAGTCTTGATTGCAAATAGTGAAGTGACCTCGTGTCAACATACTCCTTCATTTTAAATGTAGTTTTGGAATTTTAAAACAGCATTTTAGGCTTCAAAGAAAGAAATTAGTGCTGGAATTTTCTTTTAAGCCCCACTTTCAGTTCTATCTAACTAAGAATGAAGCACCAGGAAATAATAAGTATCATAATATAGTCAAACCTGCTTTAGTGACCACCTGTATATAAAGACCACCTGTCTACAAAGACCCATTTTTGTTCCCCTTGAAAATGGTTTCTAATTGAAACATGTACTATAGGCACCTGAACATAAAGACCACCTGCCTAGTATAAAGACCACTTTTCTTGTCTCCCTTGGGTGGTCTTTATAGACAGGTTTCTTACACTGTAACACCTACCTTCTCTCTTTCTGAAATTCTTCTTATCCTGTACAGCACTCTAGTTCTATCTAACTAAGAATGAAGCACCTGGGACCCTTTGCACAAAACTTACCACTGATGGTAACTACCATGGAATCCTTGATTTAGAGTGGCTGTTGACCTATTATCATGGTTCTTGCTATTGATGGCAAAGATACCATCAATGGTAAATTTTATGCAATGGGCCCAGGAAATAATAAGTATCATAACAACACCTACCTTCTCTCTTCCTGAAGTTCTTCTTATCCTGTATAGCACTCTGCAATGTTGACATGATCTCTAGCTGCTTGAGAGACAGGATACCCAGTCCCTTGACCATGCCAGCCAGACCATAGGCAGCTCCCTTCCTCTCACCAAAGTTCTCTGACTCCAGCAGAAGCTTCAGGAGTTCCTTGACGATTCCTGGTGCGTCTTTCTTAATGGCTGGGACTAAGGGCGGCAGACAAGCCGCTACTGCTTGCTGGACCTGTGCAAAGAGTTTGGAAAGAATCCTTCAAAGTTATGCAAAGTGAATCAAACGTGGATGCAATCTCCATTCTTCCTGAAATCAACTGTCAAGAACATTTTCATAAAGCCTCAAAACTCAGGTTTTATACTCAGATGTATAAATTCAAACAAAACTTGAGAAGTCTGCACCTTAGAAATACAGTACCATATGAAAAGTAAATTGACATCAAAGTGACAAGATTCCTTTGAAGTTATGTCATTCATAATGTATTCAAAAGAAATATAAGTACAATTTGCTCCAAATAAGAATACATTTTGTACACAATGTAACAGAGATTGAATGGTTTTCCATTAGCTATCGCATGTAAAATTTGACTTTACAAAGTAGGTCCCACAGATGCTCTACTTACACCTCATAGAATTTTTTGTTTTGACTTAAGCATTCCCCTGAAAAAAACATATTAGCCAATAGACCTGTTAACCCTATAAGTTAGATCTGGGGCTGTTTCATAAACCTTGTTATCTATAACATAGAAAATTTCTGTGACAAGTTTGCTCTCAGCCAATCAGATGCCATGATTTCAGTAGCTTATAACAGTAGCTTGTAACTTGTTATTGATATCAAGTTTGCTCTCAGCCAATCAGATGCCATGATTTCAGTAGCTTATAACAGTAGCTTGTAACTTGTTATTGATAGCAAGTTTGCTCTCAGCCAATCAGATGCCATGATTTCAGTAGCTTATAACAGTAGCTTGTTATTGATAGCAAGTTTGCTCTCAGCCAATCAGAAGCCATGATTTCAGTAGCTTAGAACAGTAGCTTGTAACTTGTTATTGATATCAAGTTTTATGAAACAGGGCCCTGTAACTTACAGGTTGAGAAGGAGTGCTCAGCGCTTCAATCAGCTTGCCAACGATGGGTTTGACCTTAGGGTCCTCTTTCTCAAGATGGCGTGCCAGAGATCCCATGAGAATGATCACACTCTGTCGGACGGTGTCGTAAGACGATGAGTCAGGCGCTTCATCCATGAACTTCTCAAACAGAGGGAGCAGTGTCGCAACATTGGGCTGCAAAGATGAAAAATTAAAAGGAATGCATGTCAATGTCATTTACTTGTGCTGCATGAATGCACAAACATACACTGTACACGTTTTGTTTCTATATTCAGTAACAATGAAAGGGAATTCATGATGGCAAGATTGACAGGGACTATTGGATAGACTTGGTTCATTTTCTGCTATCTGGATGAAGGAACAACACAACAAACTACTATCCATGAACCATTTATCCTTAGCAGTCTCCTTTGTTCCCTGTTTGAGCTGCTGTCTGATTTAGTTCCCTTACATCTCTCTTAATGTTATCCTTCACCAGCCCTCCCCAAATGTCCAATCCTTCTCCAGGATGCTAGCTACCTACCTTCAGCTCCTTTCATATCCCCTCTTTCCTTCTCCTGTCTATTAATGTCACCCCTGGTATCCTCATCTCTGTCACCTCCAGCATCTTTTCTTCTATCTTCATCAAAGCAAACGTTTCAAGGCCAGACAGTAGCACTGGTCGTATTACTGTGTTGGTCATTCAACTTGACCTTTAGTTTCACAGGCATTTCTCATAACTCATGACCCAAAGGTAGCACTAAATGAATGTTTTATTGAACCCCAAATTCAATGGTCTACTTGTTTCATTTCAATTATTGGAAACAATACAAATAATGCTTTGTATACTGATTCAATTACCTAATGATGATTCATATTTCAATGACAAGGGCCCGTTGCACAAAACTTATCATTGATGGTAACTTTGCAATCAATGGTAACTACCCTGGAACCCTTGATTTTGATTGGCTGTTGAGCCTTGTTACCACGGTAGTTGCCATTGATGGCAAAGTTACCATCAATGGTTAAGTCTTATGCAATGCAACAGAGTGCACAGTCAAAGCTCCACAGCCCAGTTACATATCCCGTCCAATATCCCATCTGTAGTTTTTATTTTTTTTCTTCTTTTCTTTTCTAAACACATACAAAGCATGATGGAAATTAAATAAAATGTTCTTTCCTTGGGTGATGCCAGCATGGTACAAAGATCAACCGTGATAACGACCTTTAGGAAAGAGTTTTATCTTGGCTGATGTAATAAAACAAAGGAGCATGTGAGTGGCGCATTCTCCATTGCCTTCCATCAGCCATATATCCCATCAGTATTTACATTGTTACATTCTTTAATCAAACCACCCTGCACTAGATACTAACCTTTCCCTGTTGAATGATGGCAGCCATACCAGCATTGAGCATCTCCTTCTGTACCTCAGCGTTCCTGTCCCCTAGACCCTTAGGCACCAAGAACTTGAACAGCTCTGGGACATGACGCATCAGTAGATGAGGGGCGATCTCAGACAGCGCGATGGCGATGCCGCAGCGGGCGTCGTACTGGTCCGGTGGAGACTCAGAGATGACTCGGCCGAGGGTGTCCATGACTGGAGGAGGGATCTGATGGAGACAACAAAGGAAATCTATATGAAAGCGTGGGTTAAATCTAGATAGAGAAACACATAACTTAATTTACCCTTGATGTGCCTGGGCCCATATTCAATTCAATACTTGAGTACACAATTTAAGCTTTTTACTTAGTATTTTACCCTACATTTAAGACAGCTCCATACCAGACATAAGCCAATTTTTTGGAGGCCTTGATTAGCATGCATGTGGTTTTCTTACGCAGTATCATAACCTGCGCACAATTATATTAGCAAGAATTTATTGTGACACGTTAATTGCGAATTACTTTTGTACTTTTGTTTGACCGTGTGATGTCACAATGCTTATCAGTAAATGCAGGTGAGTAAAAGTCTAAAATGCGATTTGAATACGAGATACGTAAACTTCTTAGCTTAGCCATTTACTTAGTAAATTTCTCACATAGTCTAAGTATTGAATTGAATACCGGCCCAGGTGCCTACCACAAATCCCCTTTGTGCCAGTCTACCCAATTTCCAACTAAAAAGAAAACTGATAGTAAAATGCTTTAAAAATGAAAATGTCATGCACTAACCAAATGGCCAAACAGACACCAATGAATAGTAGAATTGATCATGTCAATACATTACAACAAGGCTTTGCATTTTGAAACTACACAAGTGGGTTGCCCTTGCAGTGTATAGGAACACACCAAAAGCAAGTGGGCAGGGAAGTGGCAACTTTGGGGTCTAAGATATCATGAGAATTTTAAAGAAAGCTCTGCAAAGCAGTATCATGGCTCAGAATCATATTTACCATCAAGAAAATAATCTAAAGAAATGGCTACTTTGTAAGGGATCTGGCCTTACACACCTAAATCTAAAAAGACCTTAGAAAGGGGATAAGGACACTACCTACCACAAGTTTCTCTTGGTATTTCTTGAAGAGGATACTCATAACCTTGTCAAGTTCCTCAGGATTCTCAGCCAAGATGGCGGAGAGAGCAGCGGCTCCACTCTGTCTGATGACAGCTATATCATGGATGACATCATCTAGGAGCATGGTACACAGCTCTGGGGAACCTTTGAAGTTACCGTCTGTCCAAACTCTGAAGGGAAATAAAGAGAGATAGAGAGGAGGTTCAAGTAAATATTTTTGTTTAAATCAGGAAAGAACAACAGTATTAGCGGTTAATTTAACATCAACCAGCAACATCATTGGCTGCATCATCAAGAAGGAAGATTGTTAGCTAAGGTACTGTTAAGATTCTGCTGGCTGGCTGAAACAATGTCATTTCGTGGCATTGTCTATTGCTACTAGGCCGATGATTCAAGTCATTTCTTTCCTTCATGTGTTCTTTATTAAATGCAGTAAAAGTAACTATCAAGTGGTGAGGAATATAAAACAAATATAACACAACCTCTTTTCAAGACTCCAGCTAAATCTATGGGATCTTGGCCAATGCAAAAATACCATTACCTTTGGTGCTGTACTCCTCAGACAAGGTACTATTATATTCACCTCCAGCCCACTGATTCAACTCTCTTATGGCAGCGTATGTACATGAAAATGTGTGTATAATGCAATCCTTATCTTACTTGTCTCCTGAAAGCCTGATTTTTACCCAGGGGTGATAGTGAGCACTAAAAAAAAAAATAGGTTTTTTGTTTTCCCCTCAACCATGCCCCCCTCGAGTAAAAAAAAAAAAAGAGGATTCGCGGGGAAAAAATGGCATCTAACAACATTTCCCCCCTTTCGAGTAAGAAAATTGGTAAAAAAAAAAAAAAAAAAAAAAATCATTTTTTTTTTTTTTTAAATCAGGAAGAAAAAATCGGGAAGAAAAAAATCGGGAAAAATAAAAAAAATCGGGAAACCGATTTAAATCGGGTTTTTATCAGGCCTTTTTACCACTCATGTTTAAAGCCCCTCTAATATTTTTTTGTATTTTTTCATTAATAATCGACTTCAAACACATTTGTTTTAAAAATCCTTGCAGAATGATGTCTTGAATGACATCCTCTTTCACATCATGATACGATTTAAGTTAAATTTTGGGGCTCCAAACACTTTAGAGGGGCTTTAGAGCATAGGAGCAAACACCCTTTTGACTGTTATGATCCTTAGAAGAGCACAATTATTTGTCTTACTCGTCTGCTAATGTCCGAACTTCAATGTCAACGTCCTTCCTAGCACACCAGATCCTCTGTGCAATCCTCATACCCTGAGGGTCATCCGAGTCCTGGGTCGGGAGCACCAGCAGAAGCTCTCGGAGTCCCTGTCAAGAAACAAGGTAACGAAGGATTAATATTCAACATAATATTTAACACTCATTTAACAAATATGGATGGCTCAAAACTAGCAGGTGCCCAGAACACATCAGAGATACCAAGCCCATAGGATGGTTGTCAGGAACATTTACACAAACACCAAACTTCAAAATTTTAACATGGGGCTCATGCAGACAGACCCACTACTTCATGTCTTTCAGCAATTTGTTTCAACCACAGAGGGATGTCGTACCTTGAGGGTAGCCACTCTGACTTCCAGGACAGGGCTAGTCATGGCCTTGAGTATCACATCAATCTCATCCGTCTCAGCCACGGTACAACCCATATCACCGCTAGCACTACGGCATAGCTCCACTATCGCTTCATCTGCTACCCTCTGCTGCTGGACACCTCCGATACCGATCAGACGGAAGAGGAGGGATAGCATCTCGTGGCGTGGTAGCAGCTCAGGTCCGCTCTGATAGGAGGATAGAGGAAAGAAAGATGATGATTATACAATGTAAATCATTTACCTGACACTAAAACTTCTTCCTTTCACTGTCTTTCATCTTTTATTTTTAGCTTCTCCAAGCTTTTTTTTTACATTCTAAAAATGTACAAAATGGATATGGCTGACACACGTGAAAACTTGTGAAAAGGTTACAGTATACCCCTGTGGAACAATAGATTTTTCTTATTCATTACATCATCATCATCTCTTCTTTTTATGGTTTTCTTCAATTCAGACTTCTTCACTTATTCCTTCTACTCCTCTCCAGCTTCATTCTTCCTCCAAAACATTAAATAAATATTTTTTCATTCTTGTATAGTGCAGATGATGATGATGATGATGATGATGATGATGATGATGATGATGATGAAAATGATGATGATGATGATAATAATGATGATGACGATGATGATGAAAATGATGATGAAGATAATGAGGATAATGATGACGATAATGATGATGATTACAATGTTGATGTCGATAATGACGATAATGTTGATGATGATGATGAAAATGATGATGATGATGATGATGATGATGAAAATGATGAAAATGATGAAGATAATGATGGCGATAATGACCATAATGTTGATGATGATAATGATTACAATGATGATGACGACAACGATGATGATGATGATAATGGTAATGATAATGATAATGATGACAGTCTTACCTCATCGATGACATCGCTCTCTTCCTCTTCCTCCATACTACTCCTCAGGTTACAATGTGAGGAGAGAATGGCCAGCGCCCTCTTTACGTTCTTCTCATCCTTCTTCACGACCACACCCCCGTCGTAGAGCACCTGGTGCAGGAGACGGAAGAAATAAGCAAACGACGGAGCCGGAAACACAGTGGCGGAGCCCATCGATAGGAAGTCATCGCCGTCATCGATGTCCTCATCGTCCTTCCCACCGTGCAATTTGAGGATGGTGTTGATCACCATGGTAGGCAGTTTCATTGTGCACCAGTTCTCAGCGATCGGGCACGCTGGCTTGCTCAGGCGTAGTGTGCAGTAGGATACAGTGTCGGCTGCAAACATCAGTTAATGACACAGCTTTCATTAGTGACTCTGCATGGGCTTTATTCATCATACATGATATGCTATGGTATATTCATTCCCAACCCATTTATATTCTTTATTCATACTAGTACTAGTATTTTCATAAAATTGTGAACCTTACCGCTGTAGAATCACGTAAACTCAAATATATCACATGAATTGTTTAATGACTAGTGTATCATGCTTAATAATGCATCTATATGCAATTGAGGTAGGCTATGCATGTCACATACAATTTACATGTTTCACCTTGGACATATCCTAAATTCTGTCTCAATAAAACAAAAATTCAGGTTTGTATACCTTGGTTATATTTCCATTAATACACTTTTCACAGTCACAGTCCAAAACAAGTCGAATGGCAACTTTTATGGCACAGTTTGCAACAAAATAGGAAATTATCATGCACAGGATAGGAACGATGTGTAACTAATACGATAAAAACCTTTCTATCAGGAGTGATAGTGAGAGTTTAAAAAGAAAGAAATCTAAGCGCTTGTGCAAGGCGTTCAAGCAAGTCATGACAAAACAGCATCTAATTTTAAACTGGATTTACATCAATCTCAGGAACTATCCATTTTTCTTTAAAAAAAATTAAAAAAATGGATTTTTTTTGGGGGGGAAACCGATTTGAATCGGGAAATTATGAGGCTTGCTTGCCACTGACCTAGAGTTCTCTGGTCTGCTTCAAAGGCGCAATCAGCAAGGGCCAAGAAGACTTGGGCGAGGTGTGGGGCAGCGATGGGTGAGGAGGAGAGGGTGAAGATATTATTGATGAGGGTTGGGATGTGCTTCCTCAGACCGTATGGGTTGCCTTTCACAGCCGCTACCAGGAGCTTGGATGCAGGCTCGATCTCATCGTTCAGCTGGAGAAGAAGGAGGATATGGAAGATGCATTTATTTTTCTAGTGTTCTTTTTCAATGAAAATGAAAAATGAGGGTCTTCATACATAACAGGGCCCTGTCTTACAAAGAGTTGCAAGTCTTCTTATCAATCGCAAGTTTGCAATCTCCTATCTCTTATGTACATAGTTGCGATTAAAGATAAACTTTAGTACTGGTAATGCGATTGCATTGTGAAAGATAAGGTGTGGAAAGGATCAGAAACAGTTGATCATGTAGCATGTAAGTATTGGTGTGCACTGCAAGGTTCTGGAGTCATCAAAATCATAATAAATTTGACCGAGTCTTGGTAAAGTAACAAGCACTCACATAGAAAGCTATATATGGGACAACACACATGGTGTCGGGGCTAGAACTACCTTGATTTCCTTGTCTTTCTATGCTCATTACTCAGCCAGTATACATTTTCTTCCAAAATTGTTTGGCACATGTCATTTATTTGTAATCTTGAACATTCAGTGTAAGTTTCGTTTGATTCTGTGAGAATTAATTTTTTTTTTTTTTACCAGTACTGGAGTTTATCTTTAATATCAACTCCTTGTAGACAGGGCCCAATTGTCTCTTATTATGACTCGCATTAAATAATTCTTTAAAGAGCGGAAAGGGGGCTCTCTTTTACAATGAAGTTTTTGTCACTTCCTGTTTCAAGATCATTATATGCTTAAGTTTGAGGGATGAGAAAAACACAATTTTCTACAAATAAACTGTAATCACACTTTCAATGGAATAAACATCCTTTTTTTTCCTCACTAATATACCACTACAGGGGATGCCAAATTGTTTCTGCTATAAAAGATTTTAAGTTACATGCACCGCTTGTTCACACAAGAAATAGGAACCAAGACAAGTGTAGGGTTCATGGACTGTGACACCTTGCCCACAGAAACATTATTGACCAGCATAAATAAACAAAATGATCAATAATTATTATTAAATTATATTCTTTCTGTCTTACCTCTTGTAGTTTCTTTCTTATTTCACCTTCCTTGGCTAGTTGAACTTTCTTAGCCTCTTCTTGTTTCTTGGTCAGTTTCACCTCCACCTTTATCCCCTTCTGGGCACGTTCTCTCTCAATCTCCTAATATGAAAATACAAATAGATAGAAAACAATGGTGGAAACAATGTACAAAAATTCAAAGAAACTGTAGAGTCTGATACATAAATATACAAATAACAATGTGCTACAATCAAATTGTTACATATGAAATTAATCAAAGTAAGTTCATGAGTAAAATATTTTTATAATGATTGTATATAACATTAGAATTTGTAGGGTAAGTGTGTCTATGAATTAAACAGTTTTATTATCAACATTATGCTTCATGTGTGTGGCTTGACTCTTCTTACAGTTGTTAGGTTTCTTTTTGGAAGTTCAAATCTGAAGGGAAAAAAAACAGTAGATGCTCCTCTTCATCAGATGGGACATTCCAAACACTTGGCAATATACCAAGGGGGTGTTTGACAAAAAAATTAAGTTGAGCTTATCTCTAAGTTGGACTTAACAATTATGGAAAGCTGTTAGCATCCTTGAAAATATTTTGTAAAAGTTATTTCAAAAGGCATAAAATGTGGATTCAAGTCATTCATATTTTCTATTATCATGGGAGATTTCATGTTCTTGATGTGGAATTTATGAAAAGTCTAAAATACTTGTATTTGCTTTTGCAAATATTTCATTATAAGGCTACAAATGGCTCTCCATAATATCTAAGTCCAACTTAGAGTGAAGTTCTACTTATAATCTTTGTGAGAAGTAGAAGTAGAAGTAATATTGAAGAAAAGGATGCTGCTTTTTATCTTAGGCTGTTTAATTCTTCGCAGTCCGTCTCCCTCTTACCTTTTTTAGTTCAATCTCCAGGAGTTGTTCCTTGTAGGAATATGCCTTGTTCTCTCGTTTCATTGAACCTATGTCCAGCTTCTCAGCATTCCTAAGGTGCAAAACGATTAAGGTTGGAAAACAAGAGTGATTATAAGACATTACATCCCTCAGGCATACCTGCCAACCTGAGACAAGAGAAATTAGGAGTAAATTTTTCTGGATGGACTACGAGGTCGCGAACCACCGAAGGATTGGGGTAGTAGCCCGTAGATGTAAATGGGGGGGGGGGGGGGGGGGGGGGGGTACACAGGACTTTAGGGTCTATTTTTTTTTCCATGTCGCTGTGTATATCTTCTATGAGCGCGAGCGCGGATGTCGGCGTGATCTGGTTATCAGTGCTGTGTTATGCTTTAGTATTATACATACATAGGCCTACATACATATTGGTATTTATTGAGTGCCTTTACATGAACATGCTCAAGGCGCTTTACATTTCAAAATACAAACATAATAGTTATATACTCTCCAAGTGCATTACACTCTAAAAAAAAAAATCAAAAAAAAAATCGGAGTTTTGAGGCATGCACTCGGAATTCGGAGTTGGTATGAAAAATGCGGAGGAACTCCGCCTAAATCGGGGTGGTTGGCAGGTATGCTCAGGTAGTTTGTTTCTTGATTGGGAAAGATCATTCTTCTTGAACCTTCATGATCACAAATGTATAATGTATAAGAGATTGACTATTTCCATTTTGTTTTTCTCTTACTTTTTAATTACTCAGATTTGCATCTGACCTCTAGATGGAGTCATTTTATGCAAAAGTAGTTACAGATATCAAATATATATAAGGTTGAGTTCTTGGAAGAGGTGAAAAATAATTTGTGAGCGTTATCATTGTAATATGCAAGTGTGGAAGAACATCAGATAAGAAATGTTCCCTGAAAAGCATGGCTCTTCAAATGCCTTGATATTCTAAATATGGCATGTAACATCATAAAAATCGGGACAGATTTTTATGCCACATGTTTGTGTAGTCCCATATACATCTTTCTGTGTACAATGCTGGAAACTTTACCAAGACTGGGCCAAATTTCTTATCCTTTTGATGATTCCAGAACGTTGCAGTACACACCGATACTTATATACTAGATGATCAATCTTTTCTGATCAATTGCACAACGTTTCTTTCACATTGCAATCGCACGACCAAAATCATCCTAAAAGCTTACTTTTCAATGACTGACTCATCATGTAGGACGCCCTCTGGTGTCCTGTAAATGTCAAACTCCTCCAAGGTGATACCCACAAAGCCTGGGTTGCCAAGGCAACTGATGAATTGATTGATGAAGGGCGGTAGAATGTGTTGAGGTGCGATGAAGGCTAAACTCTTCATGGCATTTTGAGCAGCCTGTGAGAAAGGGTGAAATGGCATAGGTCAGATTTTCTTGGTCAAGCAGATTCAATTTAGAAATAATTTTGACAATATCATGGAATTGACAGCAGCAGAACATCATTGAAGCAAATTCACTTATAAGGACAGGGGCATCTCAAATCCAGTTTAAGTTCAATTCCAGTAAAAGCATATACACATACAGTCAGAAATAAAGCAGATGCAATTCCTTACACATGGAATCAAGAGTACCATAAAAGACTAAGGCAGCCTTGTCCCCTTATGAAAAAAGGAAAAATAGAATGAATCATCCCAGAATATCATTAATTAACATATAAAATACTGTATAAGATTCAAGCATGAACTATAAAACAAATTATCATAAAAAACAAATAAACTAAAGAAAATAAGAGTATGAAGGAAATCAGAGGTCAGTGACTATAAAAACTGTGTTCAGCAGAAGTCGTGTCAGATTCTATGTGTGTGTTACGCGGGTGGGGATACTGCAGGAGTGCCTGCTGAATGCTAGATTTAGAACTCACCTCAGAAGCTTTCTCCTTCTCCAGTAAGAGATTCAAGATGTATGCTTGACTCTCTGATATGAAACCAGGTAGATCAGGGACCAGACCAGAGACAATATCACCCCACAGAGATGGCATCACTGCAGCTGAAGATACAAATAGGATAGACTTTTGAATAGATTGTAATGATTTAAATATTTAAGAAATGTCAAGAGGGCCAAGATGTCCGCTTGGTTGTCCGATATAAATCAAGTTAAATCACAGACTAGTCCAGAGACTAAATATCCCCAGAGGGATTGCCTGAATGCAGCTGTAAATACAACCAAAGTGCTTGACTTCAGAATGGTAAGAAATAATTTAAACATTTGTGTGATATTACCTACTTCATTACTGATAAACTCTATAAATGATTAATTAGCTATGATTATCTTTGAGATTTACTTCCAATGTACCTAAAGGACACATCTTTTGCCATTCATTGAGACCCTCAACAGGACCATAGCATGAACTTCCCCCAAATTGCATATCTGATTAACTTTGGTTACAATATGAACAACAGTTCCTGAGTTATTTGTCACAAGAGTCTTGCAAGTAAACTTTAAAATTGGTGATGGATGACAGTTGGTGGTATATGGATCTCTTAGTCTTACCGCCACCTTCAGCGGTCGAGACAATTATTGCAAGTTTGAATACACTCTCCTCAATTAACATACCACTTGTGAATATAGTAGGCGGCACACCTGTACCCGCTCGCATTGAACAGGGCCTGCATGGAAACATAGTCTGACTTGGGTTTGTGCACAGTGTTTTTATGTAACCCTTCATTTTCATAGCCCTTACCAATTAACCCAGAGAACGCAACATGAATTTAAAAAAAAGTCAATTCTACACATTCTACCTGTACATGCATGGTTTTTAAAGGTGATTCATACCCTTTTAAAGGTCCACTGTACTACTTGTAGCTACATGCTCCCTCTATATAACAAACAATGCCTAATCGGTGACCATTCGTCCCCCATGATCCTCTTTTTCTTATGTTAATTGAGAGCTGATTTGATGAGATAACCACCTGTCCAGTGACCTTGCAGGGTGGTCTAATCTCACCTGTACACTAGTACAGATGGGCTTTAAGAAACTTGAGAAGGGACTTACCTATGAGCGGATGATGAGTATCAATGAGAAGGGAGTCGACTGCGAGCTCAACCATCTGAGATGAAGGGATCTCATCTTCCTCCTTGGTTCCAGGTACCAGGGACTTGATACCGGAGACGAGCACGTCCGGTCTTACCCTGCCTGTATCCTCGGGTGTGGCACTCTCTGCACAGCTGTCTAATGGCTGAAATATAATTTTATTAAATTGATGATATCACGGTCTCAGAAGCTATACAGAATTCTGGTGAAGAAACCTAAATCTCTACTCGTGTTTCTGAAACATCCAATGGTATACCATAAAACAAAGACATAATCATTCCTGAAATTTTGTGCGGATTACTGGTCCTGTGTGGTATTTAAAAACATCACTGATGAATTAATATCATCCTCCTTAAAATCTGGTACAGGAGACTAGACACCAGAGACTAGGACCTCTGGTCTTAGCCTGCCTGTATCTGAAATATTATGGTATCAAATTGATATCACCGTCTCAAATTAAATTACTGGTCAAAAGAAATAAATATTTTAATCAGAAACAGGTGAGGTTATGTATTAAAGAGATTCATAGTTTTGAAATCATTTGTTGAAGATTGTTGCTCCTAACTAGGTACATACATGCAAAATATTTCAACTTTATTCTTCTCTATATCCTGTCATAAATCCCTCATAATCTCTACATTTAGAAATATCTTCAAAGAAATATTAAGCAGTATTTACAATTAGTCCAAATACAAAGAAAAAGCAATGTTTAATCATTTGTAAAGCATTACCTTTTCATAGTTCCTGACTTTATAGGGAATTCGATATCCCTATAAAATAAGAACGCTTGTTTGTTCGTTCGTACAAAGAATATCGGGGAGTACATCATCTAGATAGGAAGATCCTTATTAAGCCAACATATTGTCTCATCATCGAGCTCTCGAAGTCCGGAAGCACCGTGAGGGGATTTGTAGATAGGACAAGCATCACTATGATGATGTAACAAGACAACATGTGAAGATAGACTTAAAACCTCTCATTTTATGAGAGAAAGTCTGAAACTAGCATCACTAGGTATGTCCTCATCAGCTCGAATTTGCCAAATAGCCCGCTATTTCTGATTTGGGAAATAAGCCCGAAGTTACCAATCGCGTCTTCCCCAGCTCGAGACTCAACCTCAAACTCGAAACTGGAGCTGAGATATTTTGCTCAGCATTTGTGCATAAAGCGAGTCTTCAGGCTGGTAAAAACGCACCAGACAAATAGCGAGATATTTTGCAAACTAGCCCAAGATATCTTGGAATGATTATCTCGCCCAAATATCCTGCTAATTGCAACTGTGGGCTGATGAAGACACAAATTAGCTGGATAATTTGCGATCAGGATAGTTAAAATAGCCGAATATTTGGCAATCTCGAGCTGATGAAGACAGGCCTACTGAAAACAGGCCTACTGAAAACCTGAAAGTGTCTCACCTTTTGTGCGTTGAGCAGTGGTCTGAATTCCTGGAGGAGTTTGAGAGAGAGCTTGATGGCTGATTTAGGAGTGGAGAGAAGCTTTTTGATCATTTGTTTGGCAGCCTTCCTAACCCGCCACTTGGAATGGATAAGACACGACACCAGAGCTCTATGGTAAGACCTGAAACCAGATAGAACAAAGGAGATATAGCCTAGCGATTAGATAAGCATGATCTGACATTTGCTCTTGGATTTATTTCACCTGATATATATGGTAGGGTTAGAATTACAATTGAGTTTGGAGTAGTAGGGTTAAGGAATAAAATGAAATATAGAGTATGATCTAGGGTTGAAGTTAGAAATTTGCTTAGAGTATGGAAATGACCACTGAGCAAGCTTCACCAGAGCATGTGTAGTAGAACGTACAGGTGAGAAGATGAGGATTCTTTGAACTATGAATTATTTGTGAGAAACAAATTAAGTATAGGAGGGTTGAATTTTTGGTGATAAAACCTCAATCCCATAAGCAGGTCCTTAGTAATTAGTTAGCTATGACTGATGTATTTTTTATTTTATAGAAAATTCCATGAAAAATGTGTAATAGCTCCCAAAGGGGATGCTGAAAATCATTTCTTCAGACAAAGGTTATACCCAATATAAATTGACCTTTGTGTAGAGAGTTCTCCTGTGCCTAAAAAAACACTGGCTAGTGAGAAACAGGAATTAGTTGCCTTCTGGCTATCCTTGGCACTCGATGGTGGTATTTCTTACTTCCTTTGTCTCTAAGTAAATAAATATATAAGCCTCAACATACCTCTCTACTCCTGGTTTGATCAGCGGCACATGATCAGTCAACAAGCGTTCTGTCATCTCAACAAGAGTAAGGAGAGCTGCCATAAAGAAAATCAATCCACAGAAATTAGCAAATGACCTAATCAGGAATACAGTAAGCAGGCTTGAAAAACAATATAAATCTTTATTTATATGGTTATACTATATTACATCACATTAAAAATTAAAACAAAATCATTAATGTCTTTTTCTCATGACAATACTTCCAATACAAAAGAGTTTTAAAAAAGAAAGATTTTTTTTTTTGTTGTTGTCAGAAATGAAATTAATGAAACAAACTAATAAATTTAAGAAGTGGATCAGTTCAGCAATACGATAAGCAGACTTGAATTTAAGATACATACAGGTTAGACTGTACTAAAAGATAATATTTAATCTGCAGTGAACAGACTTTATATCCAGATTTGACTGTATTACCATGGCAACTAGAGTATACTTACCATCTTCTGATGCAACTGAAAGGAATTTATCTGATGTGAGCAGCTGTTTCTTCTCATCGAGGATGACAGGCCAAAGAAAACTCACTTTGTTTTCTGCAATAATAGAATAGGAGACACAAATATTCATTTCCAATCATCTAGATAAATAACTATAAAACTTTCTGACGATTAGGTTTCCCATGTTAGATTTTCTTTCTCATTTTGCAAAGATTTATGGACTGATAACTGTGCAAGGAACCTTATTTTTCCATGCTTGTCAGCACTTTTTGAAATTGATGTTATATTGCTTTCTATCACACAAAGTTTGAACTGCACATCAGACTTCAAGAGCAATGTCTCAGCAGTAGGTCATGCAAATTATCACATTTTATAGCACATGGATTGAAATCAAACTTCATAACTTCAAACTTGGAGTTCTAACGTTTCAAGCTTTACATGCTTATGTTTCATCACCTTTGTGTGTTCATTCTTTGAACTGTATTATAGTTGCAACTTGTCTTTGATAAAACATTGTTATATTCCTTTTCATGTGAAGTCAATTCAAATGGATTGTAAAATTGAAAATTATTTGTTATATTATATTCTTTTTCATGTGATGTTAACTCCAATGAATTGTGAAATTGTCATTAATAAATAAATAATTATCGTCTGTTTGGAGCCAGAAGGGCATTGACTCATATACTCTACCACACAGTGAACATCCTTCTGGCTCCGAACAGACAATATATTAACATGGTTAACAGCTTTGATTAAAGCCTGTCTGCACTAATTTGGCCAGTAGGGATTAGACCTCCCTGCGTGGTCACTGGCAGGTGGCTATCTCATCAAATCAGCTCTCAATTAACATAAGAAAAAGTGGACCATGGGGGATCAACAGGTACCGTTTAGGCATTGTTGGCTATATAGAGGGCGCAAGTAGCTACAAGTGCACTCTCGCTTTAAAACAAGATAATGCTCTTCTGGCTCTGAACAGACAATATACTGAACATAGAACATGGTATAAACAGCTGTATTTGTCCCCTCTCCTTTAAAACTCCCCATGAAGCCTCACTTGTTCCACCTGAATAAACCCTTACCTGCTTGTACATCAGACGTTGATAGCCTGACCAGAAGGCATGCTGCTGATAGAGCTTCAGTCACCATGGCAGCATGGTTAGGTTGCTGCTGAGCTTTCTCTAAACTGCCCATGATCACCTGAATGAACCTTACCTGCTTGTACATCCGATGTTGATAGCCTGACCAGAAGGCAGGCTGCCGATAGAGCTTCCGTCACCATGGCAGCGTGGTTAGGTTGCTGCTGAGCTTTCTCCAAGGATGATTGCAAGAGCGGGATGATCTCTATTCCATGGATCAGGGTGTCTCCTGTCAAACGGGAAAGGATTGTACTAACTTAGTAAATGTTATCATAAACAACATTATCATCATCATCATTATAAACATTATCATCATCACCGTCATCTTCATCATCATCATCATCATCATCATCATCATCATCACCATCATCATCATCATCATCATCAACAATGGATCAGGGCATCTCCTGTGAAATGGGAAATTATTGTACTAGCTTAGGAGTGGATATGGTTCTATCGTTTCACAGTCTTTGTTTAGATCATTCATTTCACTAGCACAACTCACCCTAAAATATCATGAGTTTTTCGAAATTGATGTTAATAGCTATTATCATCATCATCATCACCTTCATCAACAAAATTGTCATCATCATTAAAATTATCATTACCATCATGATATATATATATATTTTAGACGTCACCTGTGCCTGGGAGGGGAAAACCTCTATCTTACCGCAGTTAAAACACCAACACTTACACAAGAACAGACTGAACTGAACAAAAAAAAATTACATTTCCATAGCCCTTGTTATTGGTCTCTTGTAGGAGTGGTTTGGATGTGTGCTGGGGGGTGTTTCACAAAGATCCTAAGTCGAACTTAACTCTAAGTTGGACTTAAAACTTATCGAAAGTCGTTAGCATCTTTGAAAATATTTTGTAAAAATTATTTTAAAAGGCATAAAAAGTTGATTCAAATCATTCATATTTTCTATTATCAAGGAGATTACATGTTCTTCATGTGGAATTTATGAAAAGTCTAAAATACTTGAATTTCTGCTTATGAATATACTTTATTTTAAGGCTACAAATGGCTCTCCATAATATTTAAGTCCAACTTAGAGTTATGTTCGACTTGGGATCTTTGTGAAACGCCCCCCTGGTGTATGAGTCTTACCCTTGAGGGCGTTTAGCATGACCCTGATGCAGCCGTTCCTGGTGGCTGCTGTAGACTGCTTCTGAGTCATAGCCTTCTGGAACCATTGAATGAGCTTGGGAGGGAGCTCCGTGGATGACTTGGAGCACCATCTGGATAGCATGGTCAAGCCATGGACCATCGTTCCTTCATGAGCTACAGCAACAAAGATGACAGAACAATCAAAGGCATATATCATACAACTTGTATCTCTCTGGCATGGTTTGGTGCTTATATATGTGGTCAAGAAATGTGATCAAAACCTCACAAAATTGCATGATTTGGTTCTAAATTGAAATCAGGTACTGTCCGTGGCCTTAACAGGGTGAGTAATACAATATTCTTGAACTATTTCATGATGGAACTTTCTAATTCATATTGAAGAAGTGAAATGGCATCGAGAAGTATGTCATAGATTTATCAGAAAACTTAGAGCCAGGACTGGTGTTCAAAATAGTGTGGATGGAACATTTTAACCAGACAATATTTTGCAAGTAGTAATTGTAGTGAACACAATGAAGTAAAACTGAACCACAATTTCGATGCCTAATATTTATTATGAAGCTTTTCTCACCTTCTTGTTGCAGATATGGCATGAAGAGAGTCATAACGGACGAGACGAGGCTCTGGACCGAGCTCACTCCACTGACCCCATTGATTTATTACCTCTACAACGTGAATGGTATCAGGGTAGCTTACTAATGTCCCAAATAAGGTCATGTGTGGTGTCTATGATTGTGTAATTCTTCTCTAACTCTTACCTTCTTGTTGCAGGTATGGCATGAAGAGAGTCATAACGGACGAGACGAGACTCTGTACCGAGGTCACTCCGCTGACCCCGTTGACGCTCAGACCTCCGATCCCTGACAGGACTCCAGCTCTCTCTGATACCACCGTCAGCTTACCTTCAGAACCTGAGAAAAAACAATTATAGATGGATCAATCAGAGATATTCTGCTCTCTTACACTAGATATCATATATTGATAGAATATCTCTATGCATTTCCAAATGCAGAAATTGTATATAATCCAAGTGATAATAATAATAAGATATTTCTTTACCGCAAATTGGAAAATGCCACTAAGCGGTGATGAGCAAAATAGAGAAAGAAATTGAATAAGTTGTCCTGATGTGCATACATAACACAAAGTTTCTTCTTGCAAAACGTGAGTCCTAAGATTATTGTGGCAAATGTACTGGAGGGAGGGGGCAGATTACCCCCCCCCCCCTCAACCACTCTTACAGATTCAATTGTAACATTTGGTTTTGGTTTGCTAACTTATAATGGTCATATATGTACCTCCTAAATCTTAATACAGCAAATATGTTCAAATTCATATAACAATTCAAAATAAGTTCTAAGAGGGATTCCATTTGCTGTGTTCTTGGACCTACCTCCTAATACGGCAAAAAAGTGTTTAGAAAGGCTTTCAATGGCGCTTGGGTCACTGCACTGCAATGCTAGGTTCTCTGCTGCTGAGATGGCTTCCAGGCGTAGAGTCTCATCTTTAGCATGCAGTTGAGCTGGAGAGAAAATTAACCAGGGAAAGAAGGCAGGAAAGGTTCAAGAATTTGACAAAAAAGATGAAATATTATGTTATAGGACACACACACACACACATAAATATAAAAAAACCTAGGGTTTCATATTTGAATTCAGTTATGTAACATTTCTAAGAACCTAAATTAATTGTAAATTTAATGAATCACATTTTAAAATGATCTAAAGGTACAAGTATAAGACTTTGTTATAGTTTGTTGCACATGTTATCTTAACAAGTTGTTATCAAACAATAGTATGAAGCAATCAAAAGCAATATCTTCCACATTAATATTCGGTCGTTTTCTGAGCTTTAATGGTATAAATTTCTCCATGATTCTCCTTACATCCACCAACAGTATGCTTCACATACATCCTTCTATGTCTCAAGTTTCTTAAATTCTTCAGCACTTTTCTTACAGTTAGGTCTTGTAAACTTACTTGCAATATTCTTGCCCAGTTCCGTCGCATACTGACTCAGGTCCAAAGATACACCACCGATGGTGTAGCTCACAGCTGAAAAGAATATATGAATTTAGGATAAATTAATGTTGTAGATCTCTTTCTCCAATGCAAGTCATTATTTTCTGATTTGACATTCTGAATGAAACTGGAAAGCTCTGAGCAACAAATATCTGCCCTCAATGACACCTAGAATAACTGATAAAACTGAAGGTTATTCATAATAATAATAATAATAATAATCTGGATTTATATAGCACTTTGTACGGAATACCGTCTCTAAGAGCTTAACAGATATTACCCCGGTCATCAGATTCATTTACGCACAATGTGCACCATCTCCACCCCCAGTGGAGTATTCCTACCATGTGGTCACTGTGAGGGCACAGGCAATTACTAGGGTTCATCTGTAGATATTTACCTTGAACAACATTTTCTGGGGATCTCAGCATAGCTTTCTGGATGGCAGGTAGGATGCTACTCTCAAACTCAGGGTGAGTCAGGTGCTGCAGTAACCACTTACTCACCTCCTAGAAACATGAAGGACACCAACATAATGAGCATAAACATGCTGACTATTACACACATAATCAGTGCACACTTTCCAAACAATATAAATGTATATCAAAAGCCCATCTGTACTAGTTTGGCCAGGGGGGATTAGACCACCCAGCGTGGTCAATGACAGGTGGCTATCTCATCAACTCAGCTCTCAATTAACATAAGAAAAAGAGGATCATGGGGGACCAATGGTTACCAATTAGAGATAGTTTTCTATGTAGAGGGAGCAAGTAGCTACAAGTAGTACAGTGGGGCTTTAACAAATTTAGATAATTGCATGTTTCATCATATTGTCTGCATTCATGTTATCATCATTAGAATACTATCTACAATGAAAATGTTAGGTTCTTAAATATTACATATCATATACCGATGAAATACTCCAAAATGCTTTGAAAACTTTTGCCCCAACTTTAGTTCTCGCAGTACATTTCAAGGAACAATCCTACAAGGTACTTCACCTTGGTCAAGTGGGTCAAATATGTATTAATTTCTTGCACTTATGCGAGATTTTGTGATTTTTGAGACTTTGTGAGATGGAAAGATATATTTCAATTGGTGAAAGTTCATGCATTCCCTTCAGCTCGGCTAACACCTCATTTAGTAGAACAGCTGCATCTCACTTATAAAATCTAGATATTTGTATACTGTTCTTACCAGGCTATGGACCAAGGGTTTAACCTTTCCACCAAAGACTGTCTTGATGTAAACATCTAAGAGAGCTTTCTTCTGATTGGCTACAGCCTCTGTGTTCTTTGTCTCCGTGGCATACCGTAGCAACCATCCGATGAGACAGAGGGCGTGGCTTGATACATCTAGTTGCTTGGCCGTGTCCAATGAGCTCTCCCACAGACCTTCCACCTGTGATGTGATGAGAGAAAAAAGGGTGATACTCCAATGGTACTACTCCAGTTAATGTCATATTGTACCTTATTACACCTGTAAGGTGAGGGGCTGGAGGTTGAACCCAAGATATCATATGACCTCATCAATATATTCTAAAGTTGAATTAAAATTATCCATACCCTTACCAAGTCTTGTAATTTTTTCAAGTACCCATGTGAAAAATTGATTTGTCCCCATTTATATTCTTATTATTGAGAATGTGACATATCAAAACTTACAGGTAAATCTAGAAATATTCAACAAAGGCCCTAATTCACCCAGTCCACCTTTCATTCTTGAGTTACCCCCCAAAACCACAAAATAAATCAATTTTACAAGGGGTATGAATAATTTAGTTGTTAACAGTGGATGTATATTACCTTGCATGGGAATGTAAACACCAATATTTAGTGAGGTATAAAAGTGGGCTAGAAACACCTGTATTTTTCATACTGAAGGGCATGCCATTCCTTCTTACATTTAATCACCCAGGCATGTTCAATTGCAATGCTGCCATGTTCATCTCACATTCTACTCCATTATTCAAGGCCAAATGACTTGTGTGTAATGTCATATCAATGACATAACTTCTAATACCACAAACATGTAATTAGAGATGAGAGACTTACTTGTTTCCATGTGCCCTTCAGCTTGGTGTATCCAGCAGTGTGAATTGACCTCCTTGAGCATGCCAAGATGGCCGACACAAGAGTCGCTTGTGCATCCACCTAAAAGAGATTAGAATTAAGGTTTAACAAAATATATGTGATTTGGGTGTTGTATGCGAAAGAGGTAATGAACAACCGCTTGTTTTCATTGCAAATTTATTTTCATTTAGTACCTTTACAATAAATCAATAGTATCCTTACATAAATGATCTGTTACAGAGGGATACAATTAAGTGTAAGATAATATCAATAGTAGCAAGAATACTGAAACAAAAGATTTTTATGATTAATTGTGATTTACAAGGTCAAGAGGTTTTTATATAAGAGAGCAAAATATAAAGCAGTAAGCGAATTAACTCAGAAAATACTAAAAGTCCTCTGGTTAGATATAATAAAAAATACATGAAATTTTTACAGCGAGAATTTCTACTTATTACCATTGTAATTAATCCAAATGTGTACAGTTATATTGATGTCATATTAAGTAATAATAATAATAATAACCTAGACTTATATAGCGCATTTCATCTTCGAAGAAAATAACAATGCGCTTTACAATATTAATACAACAAAATTACTAATTCATGAACTAAAAATATATATCAAAATAAGAAAAAGATTAATAATAATCAAACATTATTAACATCCATAACAGAAAAATGAAGGCAAATTATATAAGAGTAAAGTAATGTAACTAAATTTTGATGAATACAATAATACAGTAATGTTGGCTCTTCCTGAAGATCCCTCATCATATCAGAATATTATACTTACCAACTTTTTCCACTCATTACCAGATCGTTGTTGGCTGGATGTGAAGGCTTGCCTGGACAATATGCATGTCCAACGTAGCACCACATAGGGGGACCCTCCTGTCCCTTTCCTTTAATCACAAGAAAGCAAAAAAACTTATACAAAATATTGAATAATTCTTTCTGACCTAAATGTAATATAACACAGGTAAACAAAATATATTTTCTTTTACAAGCATCAGTTGTTAACACTGTTATAAAATTACTTTAGGGTGTTGAATAAAGTATTTTTGTTTAAGCACTAGGTACTGGATGACGGATCAAACTAGCATTCCACATTTAAGATATCTTGCGTGAAATGTACACTGTTGCCATAAATCTTTGATAAAGTTTATATCTTTTCAAAATTGTATTGATCAATCTTAAGAGTCATTAAGAATTAATTAATCAAAGTTCTCAGCAGATCTATATGAACATTATCTTTCAAGGATAAACCATATTGTTACAATCATTTCTTTGAAAATAGGCACAAAAAACATAACTCACACTTTATGGGCCACAGAGTATAAACATATATTTCTGTGAAATTTTGTCCAATTATGCCCGTTACATGACCCATGTGACTGCAGTTAAATGGCAAGTCCACTCCAAATATAACTTACTTTCAATAGGAGCACAAAAATCAGACAAACCAATCAAAAAAAGTTTGAGAAAAATCGGATAACTAATAAGAAAGTTATGAATTTTTGAAAAAGTATTATTAGTTACCCTATTTTGCTCAAACTTTTTTTGATTGGTTTGTCTGATTTTTCTGCTTCTATTGAAAGTAAGTTATTTTTTGGAGTGGACATGTCCTTTAAGAATAGAACCACCTACCAGCCTTGGACAATCTTTGTCTCTGTTACATATGAGCCGATGATATCACAAAGAGCCTTTACACTGGCATCCCGATATTTAGCGCATAGTACACCAATAAGTCCTAGAACTGCCTTTCTCGACGCACCATCTGCAAATACTGGAATTGTCTGAGCTAGTATCCGACATATCGTCTTGACAGCTGCCTCTGGAACAGCTGTATGACAAGGGGAGAATAAAAGGGGGGGGGGGGCTAAATGTTTAGACTAGGGCTAACAATGCAGTTTTGCAACTCTAAAATGCTCTCCAATAGACCATTTCTGTTTTTTTGTTTGTTTTATTATTTTCATTTTCATATTATTGAATTTTCTCCAGGACGGAAGAACGCAATTTCAACAACTTTCACATACAACTACAAGTACCCGTTTCCAATTTTGCTTTCCCACTTTTTTACATCCGTTATCAACTTGCTAATATAATCAAGTTCAGTTTTCGATTAAGCATATGTTCTGTAATTATTCACATTTTATATTTTTTTAAAAGCTAGACTATGCCTGGTCTATGGAAAAATCAGTAAAAATCTCCCTCTCTTTCTTTCTCTCACTCTCTTTAATATCCCTCAAATTTGTTTGTTTGAAATTTCATCATGACATGTTCTTTGCAATTGGTTGTAGACTCTACTTGAACTTAAATTATTTTATCCTGAAGTCAATTGAAATTCTGACACCCATCCCTCAAAAAAGAAAAAGAAAGAAAAAGAAGTTTCCTAAAAATATTACAGATCTAGATCTACATCAGTCATCAGCTTCATTTCATGTCTTGGTTTCCTCTGCCCCCCCCCCTTTTAAATGAATTGTGAACAAACCTTTCTACAATGCAAAATCAGTTGAAAAACACCAACAAAGACTCTAGACCCTCTAGATCTATTTTTAAATTTTATTTTTAATTTACAAAAAAAAAAAATCTTCCTTTTCATTCCACAATGCCAACAGTTCATTCCAATTCATTGCTGGAAGTGGACCATGTTAAGCACTCTGTCATTGAAATAGACTTCATATTGATTTCAGTCTATACCAACAATTTAAATGATTAAAAGAAAGAAATTACACAGCTATGATCTACCAACGCACAAATGAATGCATGGGACCAAAGAGAATTCTTCAACACGTACCTCCCGTAGACACACAATCTCGAACTTCCGACAAAATTTGGCATCGTTCTTTCGTGTTTGTGCAGGCAACCCTCGACGCAAACCCTTTCAGCAAGGTTGTTACCTAATAAGGAGGGAGATAAATTACATAAAATTAATCAAAATCCCAGAAACTGAAAAGAATATACAATATGCTGAATTAATCTTTATCCACGTGTGACTTACCCCGTCACTGTTCGTCGCCATGATTGCTGTACATGTGATTACGACGGTTGTGGCAATGTTAATACTCTACGTGCTTTATGCAGGTACTCAATAGGGATTCCTGAGAGTAGTCTAATCGTTTTACTCGGTTTTACTTTGAACTAGCGGAAAGGGAGTGGGGAAACGATCATTACCGACCTCAATTTCTCGAATTGTGTTTGTTGTGAAGAAATATACCAGTTGCATGAGAATGTGGGTGGGGCACATAGAAAGATACGGAAACAAAGTTATAAATAAATAATAATTATACTATGTGGCCAGTACAATTTTTTCATTCAACAGGCCAAAGAAATGCCGGTGAAAGGCAGAGGTAATGGAAACGGGCCCATTCATGACGATTCGACTTATCCCAAACGACATTGGCTAAAGATAGGGGGGGGGGGGGGGGGCTGGTGGGAATCGTCGAAAATATAAGAACTGGGCCTGTGATTCGGTTTAGCTAGCTGAGGATATTCTGGATTTATATAGCGCTCGATCTCCCTCACTCCATTCGGGCGGAAACAGGGAGTTTCATTATTTTGTGGGAATGAGCCATCTCAAGTCAGGCCGATTAAAACAAAAAAATTAAATTGGGTCCTAGGGAGGCAAAGTTTGGGGTGAATCCTAGCTGGCGTCTATCTGGGGTATTGGACGGTAGCGAGGGGGTGTCTTGGGTGTTCAAACACCCCCCCCCCGGAAGCAAACAGGGAGAGGGGGGGGGGGGCAGAACTAATTTTCGCCCCCAAACGCCCCCCCCCCCCCCCCCCGAAAAAATTAGCAGTAAAGGAGTAAAAATGGTTTTACATTTTTCAACCAAAAAGAAAGAAGAAAAAAACTGATTTAAATCACATGCAAATTATACTCCAAAGAAAAGGAGAGTAAACAGGAATTAAATTTCTCATTAAATGAGCTTCCGGGGGATCTGCTCACCAGACCCTACCAAGGGCCCGAAGGAGGGCTCCTGGATGCAAATCTGACCGTAATTAAATACCTAAAAACACTGAGCTTCCGAGGGCTCTACCCATGCACTAGACCCCACCAAGGGTCTTAAGAAGGACCACTGGATGCTCATCTCAAAACGTAATTAATTGCCTAAAACCCCTGAGCTTCATGGGGCTCAGCTCCCTGGACCCCTCCCGCCAATTAGTGACCTGCCAGTGTCAAAATATCCTCATCTGTTTCTTCTGCCCCCCCCCCATACGTTATTGCTTATTATGTCACTGCGCCTGAAAGGTGAGCCCCCTGGAATGTTTGCCCTCCCCCCCCCCCCCATCCCAAGCTGCTTCCGGTGCGCCTGCCACCCACCCTCTTCGCAAAAGTGTGTGTTTTAGAATTTTAAAGACACCTTTTATCTGTGTTTTATCTTTAAAGCCAATCCAAAAAGAGAAAAAAGAAAAAAGTTTAGATAACAATCACCATGTCACATCAATTTCATGTCACACCTGAAATAAAATACAGGGATGAGAATAAATTATAATACTTGAATACTTTATCCATTTTTTCCCCCTTTTCTTTTCAAATAAAATAAAACTGGGTAAAAAGTGCTTCTTACCACTCCCCCCCCCTTTTTTTTCATAGTTGGATTGACTGTCAAATTTCCACGATCGAATCTGGCGCCTATGCTTCGATGACATCACTGACGACTCTATCTCTGCAAAATTAATAACTTACAAATACTTCCCTTTCATATATATTCGACGACTTGATTCATTTTAATATTTTTTTATTGGAAATAACTCATTTACTGATTCATTTTAATATTTTTTTATTGGAAATAACTCATTGTTTTATATCGATAAGGCTTTATTTGCTAAAATGCACATGATAACCTTGATAGATCTTGTAAGAAATCAGCTTAGCGTTTTGAAAATGAAATAGAAAAAAAAACGAAAAGAAAATAAATAAATTTGTAAAAGAAAGAGATAGAGAGATGGAGAGATAGAGAGGGGGAGGGAGGGAGAAAGAGAGAGGGGGAGGGAGAAAGAGAGAAGTTCGGTTGGGGAGGATCGAAAACCTCATTGGATATATGCCACTCGCCAACTATTAATCAATGGCATCGAAGTGTATTCTGCTACCCCCCCCCAACAAAAAAAAAATAATAAAAATGCACCACCCCCATCACCTGGAGATTGGACATTCTCGTGGAAACTCCAGTTCTGGTAAAAAAAAAAAAAGACAATAAATTCTCACAGAATCAAACGTAACTTACACTGCATGTTCAAGATTACAAATAAATGACATGTGCCAAACAATTTTGGAAGAAAATGTATACCGGCTGAGTAATGGGCATAGAATGACAAGGACATCAAGGTAATACTGGCCCCGAAACCATGTGTGTTGTCCTATATAATTATAGCTTTCTGTGTACAGTGCTTGTTACTTTACCAAGACTCGGCCAAATTTATTATGATTTTGATGACTCCAGAACCTTGTAGTGCACACCAATACTTACATGCTCAACTGTTTCTGATCCATTCCACACCTTTTCTTTCACAATGCAATCGCATTACCAAAACTGGAGTTTATCTTTAATCATTTGGTCTCATGAGCCCTTAGATAGCTTTTCAGAAGGCTCGAGAGATCGACATTTTCCTTCTAGATTCAGTCATAAGCTGTTGATCTTATGCGGCTGCATTTAGCCGAATTTCAAATTGATTCATTGTTACAAACCAAATCAACAGAGCTGAGGCTTCATGTGTTTTGGGCGCTCAGAGGATGTAGCCCCCCCCCCCCCCACTCCCGCCCCTCCTTGTTTTTTAATGTTCGAGTAATGAGATTCCGCCTATAGCTAGCAGGATGAGAGAACTTGTTCGGATCGTTCTATCAAGCGGAACAATGATCCAATGTACGCAGGAATTGTCACTCGAATAGCGCCCTCTATAGACATTTTACGACTTATTCGTACGAAAGCTGGCTATCACGTATGCCTTGCTGTCTGCTAGCTACATACGCTGAGTTTTCCGGTGGTCAGCTAGCTAGCCGTAGATGCTGCAGTGCAGTGATTAGTTCGGACATTCAGCATAACATCATAGCATGATCATATGGTCAACTCTCGATCTTTCACGCTTTGGGGAATATCCCCCAAAGGTCCCATCTGAACGACCGGACCTGGCTCATTCTGGATGTATCTACTAATCTTCTAAACTTCGCCAGCGTTGTATTTGGATTACAGACAGACTGCATCCTTTTAGTTTTATTGGAGACACATATACAACCCATTCAGGAGACGTGGGAATAACTTGGTAGTTTTGCTATGGGAAACTCGGCTGTATGTAGACAGTCGCTGACAGTCTAACCGGCCGGCGTGACCCCGAGGTCGCACGCAGCTGCCTTGTACAAGGAAATACCTGTCTGCCGTATGACTGGATCTCAATGGAATTACGATTTAAAGGGTAAGATTGCGATTTAAAGGGTGATATCAAGTCGTTTGCATGCAGTATGGTGTTATCGGGGTTAGCTGTGTTTTCATTCTTATACCATCATAGCGAATTTGAAGTTATCTAATAAATTAATGACTCATTAAATTAATCTTGAATCGAATGGAGGCACAAATTTTAATTTTGGCTTTGGACTATGTCGGTCTTGTTTAGATTCTAAGCTAGTCACAGTATAGTATGTGTACATCCATATTATGTTGTTGGACCTATAAGTGTGTTATACCAAATAGATTGGTCATACAATAGTCAAGTATATCGTGCCCATGGTAATTTACTTTTCTCTTACATGAACCGAATGAGTAACTTAGACATAGACTGACTGCAAAAGTAATAGGCCTATGTCGTTAGTACTTATTTCATTGTGGTTGTTTTTAGTATTTTTTTTTCTTCAAAATTTCTTTCATAAACCCAGGAACAA